TCCATGTGATTTTTTATTTTTTATCTATAAAAACGGGAATAATATGAACTTCATACCTAAAATTTTCTCAAGTATAGAAGAAAACAAAATATTTAATAATTATAGATTTAGAAATATATTAAGGTCTTTGGGAACACACTGTATAAAATTAGAAAGTATTACTATATATAAAGATATTTTAAAATTCTAGTTATATAAGATCCTATTAATGCTTTTTTAAGTGTGCCCCAAAATGTAAATGTATATAACCAGCATGTACCAAGCATATTTCAGAATGTCTGCCTGCCCACACCTTTGTCCAGAGGGAAATAAAAAGTCAGCAAACATTAACACCCTCCAGCACCTACTACCACAGCTAATTGGTTCAGAGGAAAGAGGCATAAGCATAACGCTAAGCCAGGATTTTAGTGGCCTCAGTTAAAAGATGAGCTAAACCAGAGGCTCCCTGTCTCTAGGATTTGAATAGATACAGAGGGCAGTCTATCAATGACTTCTGAGAACTAGAACTAAAAGGTTATGCAAAGGCAACTTAATTCATATGCTAGTTAAAGCTATAAGGAAGTCAACTGGATAAGAGAGTGTCTTAGTCCATCTGGGCTGTTATAACAAAATATCTTAGACTGGGTAACTTAAAAAGAGAAATTTATTTCTCACGGTTCTGGAAGGTGAGAAATCTCAATCAAGGCACCAACAGATTCAGTATCTGGTGAAGGCTTGCTCTCTGCTTCATAGATGGTGCTTCCTACTGTGTCCTCACTTGAGAGAAGCATGGAACATCTCCCTCACACCTCTTTTATAAAGTCACTAATTCCATTCATGAGGGCTCTTCCCTCATGACTTAAGGACCACCCTAAAGACCTCACCTCTTAATACTATTCACATTGGCTATTAAATTTCAAAATATGAATGTTAGGCTAGAGATTGGGAAGGACACATTCGGACCATAGCAAAGAGTAAAGAACCAACAAATGAAAAAAGTAAAAATGCCATGAGAATAGAAAAAAGACTAGGGCCAAACACCAGAAATTCCTGAGCTTTTGAACTTCCTAAAGTCTATCTTTTTTTCATTTTCCCTGTGTTCCCATGCATACTTATCCCTGTTCCTGAGGTGACTCAACTTTTCCCATTCTTTACCACCAAATATGTAATATCTATATGTGTTTTGAAAAAGAAAAAAATTTTCCATGCTGTAGGTTACCATGTCATTAGAACAAAGGCTCTAGACCTAGGATAATCCATTTAAATGCTAAGCCACTTTTGTAGACAAGGAAACTCAAATTCCTGAACTAGAATATTCAGAAAGAGCCAAGTAATTACTATATGTGGATAGTAGAAAAATTAAAGAAATACTTTCTATTTTCCTTATAATAAAATAAAATTGGTAATTTTCTGTAATCCTAGTTTTTATGTCCTGAAAATTTTCACCTTACTCATTTTCTTACCTGTTGGTAGAGAAGGGAAATCATAACTGTCAGAAGTAGTACTGATACTTGGATCATTTTTAAGTGGATTAGAAGTTAATGGCTGTCTGTTCCTCTTTTTCTGATTGAACAATGGTACAGGCAAACAGCCTAAATTGAATATACCAATATATCAGTATATAACAGGCAAATAACCAGATCCAGTTATAAAATAATTACTATATAATACACAACTTAAATTTGTCTACTTCTGTATGTTAATATGATTATGGATATATTTCTATATCCATGAATTGGTTTCTGCATTCTCTTTAAGGTCCTGAATACCCTCATTTGTCTCTCCAAAAGTCCTTTCTTATTCTACCTTAACATTTTTTTAATTCCTTGTTTGGAAGTAATTCTCATCTCCTCCCTCATCCCCCAACCCTTTCCAAATCCCCTTTTTGTTTTCCTTATTTCCCTCCAGAGCTTGCCAATTAAGATATCCACTGGAGGGGACACTTGGTTACAACAGAGGTGATAAAGAACCAAACTTTGAACCATGCTATCCAAAACCCTAACCACTATTTGGACTATGGTAGCATACCCTTTCAGGCTATGGTTCTCAAAGTTTAATTCGAGTAAGATTTATCTGGGATTCTGCTTAAAATACAAGTTTCTAGATCACACTCTCATAGGTTTTACTTCAACAGATTTGTCCTGGAACCCAAAACTGCAATTTTAACAAGCATCTCAGATATCTGCAATAATATTTTCTGTGGATCATTTTGAGAATGCCTTAAAGAATGACAATATCCAATCCAAATGAGAATAAATACTCCAATTCCTCCAGATGGCAAATTTACGATCTCAAGTCAAGCCAAAAATCACAATGTATAAACTTTAAAACTTAGTAGGGAACTCAAAGTGTAAAGAGGTCCAAAAGACTTGCCCACTGCTACAGAGCAAGTCAGTGGAAGAGAACCTTTAGGATCCAAGCTTCCTAAATTTCAGTTCAGATCTCTTGCCACTATATCATTCTCTAACTGGTCCATCATCACTTGTACTGTAGGAGAGTTTTCACTGTGTGAAAACTCTCTGGAAAGACTGGTAGAATTATGTGGGCTCTCGAGTCAGACTGCCTGGGTTTGAACTATGACTTCAAAGTAGGTTTGAATTACAACTTCAGAGTATAAACTTGGGCAATTTCCTTAAACTCTGTGCCAATAGAACAGATAGACATGATAACATATGATTAAAACCATGGACTCTGCAGCCAGATTACTAGGTTCAAATCTTGGTTCTGCCACTTCACAGCCTACTTAATTTCACCTCTTTTTGCCTTGGTTTCTCATCTAGAAAACAGGGATGATAATAATAGCTTATCTCAGAGGATTGGTATAAGGATTAAATTGAAATATGTATAATTAAATGTCTTAAAAACAGCACATCTACCACAAATAACAGTTGTTATTATCTTCATCGTGTGGCATCATCATTCCCCTGGTTCTAATCATTCCTACCCTCTGTTCTTATGCTAACTAATAAATTGGGGAAGCAGAAATGCTAGGAGAAGCTATTAGGAATACAGAAGTGCTTCTGGTAATATTTTGCACAAGTCAGTCACAAATACAAATAAAAATAGATCTATTTCTTTGTTTTCAGCTTAAAAACACAGAATAACCCAAGCACATAGAATTTACAGGAAGAACACCAGACTCAATCTAGGAAAGTATGATCTTATTCCCATCTCTAAATGTTTTGCCTTGAGTAAGTTATTTTACTGCCTTGGACCTAAAAAGTAAAGAGGTTAGACTAAATGTTCAATGTTTTTACAAGTTCTTTCCAAATTGTTCCATCTATAACTATATAGTTTTACACGGTATGTACAAAAGATAGAAAATAATAAAAAATAAAAGATGTTCAATACCTGCTGTACTTCGAGTCAAATTCTCATTTAGGTTTCGCTTCATTTCCATTAATATCAAAGTCTATAATTTTTTCTTTAGCATTCCAAATTTATAATTTGAAGTTGTTTAACTAAACCTTCAAAGAAAGAAACTTATAACTTACATTGTATTGACAACAAACTGAAAGTTCTCAGTCTAGTAATTACTGAAATTATGCTTTAAAAATACTTTCAAACTTGATAATGTAAACACTTTAGAGAGTCCTTTGCTTTCTGAGTAACATAATCCATTTTTCCAATTCTGTTCCAAATAAATTATGACTATAACCTTGCTTCCTAAACATACGCGAATTTTCACACAGTATATGTAATTTATTTTAGAATCAAGAATCCACAATGAGAATAATTCTGAACCAGACCTATAAAGAGGGAACACAGGCAAACTCACATGCTTATAAGGCCAGGGAGGAAGCATGTGCTATTGAACTAGGCATGTGAGAACATGCTCTGAGTCCACTTTAAGACATTGTGCAGATTACCTGCTTTGGCCATTAGTCTGAAACTCCTGGATTATATAATACCAAAGGCTAAGTGCTCATTTCACATCCAGAATAATTATAATGACAAGTTTTCATTCTGTTTCTACAACTTCAACGAGTGAAACAAGTTTTTTGTTCTTTCTCTTACCACAATTTCTGTTGTAATTTTTCCATGTTTAGCCTCCTGATATACTAATATTTCAATCCCAACTTAATTCAACAAACACTTGCCCGTTGCATGAAGAGGCAAGATACAAATCTAAATAATTTCTGCTCCAAATTCACTACCCAAGGAGACAGATAGACAGATTACAACTAAGTAATAATGCAAATCAGGCTGAGGTAAATATTAATTTTCAAATATCATTTGCTCAAATAAAACTTGGGAAATGTGAGGGGACTCGGGGACTGCCTCTGCTTTGTTTCCAAATCTTGGGCTTGAAGCTGGATATATAGTAGGCTTTTTAGAAAGTATTCTTGGTGCCATTCTAGGGACCAAATCTGAGATTATGCCTATTTTTCTCAATACAGAAATACCAATTTACCAATACAGACTTACACCGCAAATCTAGAGGGGCTTACAAGGGCTATTACGTTACTGAGAATCAAACAAAACAAAATAAACAAACAAAAAACATTTAAGTGCAATATCCTCCTCCTGGACCACTGACCCCAGGTGTACACACACAGCTTCCAAATGGATATGAGAGGTGTTAACAACGTAGTTGATGCCATTAATGTGCAAAATGTTTGCTGAATCTGCGATAGCCTGAGCGCACACACCCCTCACCCCCAAAGCCCGCCGCCCTCGGAGCCCAGGGGGGCCTATGTGGCCCCTCGTGGTGGGTGGGAGAGAACCTCCCGTCAGGGTTCATGTTCTCGTACAAAGGCCTCGCCTGACCCATCCGGGACTTGAGGACAGTTTGGTAACTAGGGTCAACACATGGTCTTTCCCTTCTTGGCCCTCCGGCCAACACAAAATACAACTTTAACCTTCAGTTTCCCTCGCCTCAGCCAACCGTCGTCGTCCGCACAGCCCAGTCAGCACCGCGGACCTTCCCGCCTCCGCCAAAAGCGCGGGAAGCCCGGCTGTGCGCAGGCGCACCTCGACCCGAGCCCCGCAGACCGCGCAGGCGCAGGAGCCTCCCCCCCCCCCCCCAGCCTTGGCGCCATGGCGTAGTCGCTGGCGTCGCCTCCCTCAGCCGCGAAGGAGCACGATAACGTTAACGCTCCTCTCTTTCCATTCTCACAACGTGAGGTATGCGGCGCAGGGATGGCGTTACCTCTGTAAGGTTTTGTCTAAAGAGGGAACGAGCCTTCGAAGAGGCAGTGGCAGATCTCCTGCCCGACCGTCCTCTGCCGGGCTTTGTCAGAAAAGTGTGCTCCTCCCTTCCCCGCACCCGTGGCAATTTCTTAGGTGGTGAGCTGCAGTTTGTGCGATGCTGGTGGCCACCCAGAGTGTTGACGTGAAGGCCACAGGCCTCAAAACCAAGTCATGGGTGTCTTGAGTGGTCTGGCTGAATTTCTGGCTGAGGTAACAAGAGTCCCCAGGAGGCTGTGGCAGAGCGGAGGCTGAGGTTTTAGAGGACAGTCGAGGAAGGCAGAGGGAAGTCGGCAAGGCAGGACTAGAGCTGCAGGAACTTGAGGAGGGACATAAGCCGCGAAGACATTCTGCAAGGGAAGCAGAATGGTGTGACGGCCGAGCTTGCAGCTCCAGGCTTTCTGGCAGGGAGGGCTGTGGATTCCTGGACTAGTGACCTTGGGCGAGTCACTTACCCCTTCCAGACCTACATTCCCTTCCTCAGTCAAATAGCGACAACAGTATTTACATAATAGCACTACAAATATTAAAAGAGAAAATGAACAGTCCGGTCGCACACAGTAAGTGCTCAATAAATGTTAGCCGTTGTTTAATAACAGTGGCTTCCATTTATTGGGTACTTACTAAGGGCCAAGTATTGTCGTTCTAGTTCTGTCTGAGTTTGAAGAGCATGTTTTGTTGTTACCACATCTTCTGACCATTTGAAGACTGGGGGACTTGAAGGGAAGAGGTGGAAAGGGCTCAGAGTTGAAAGGGAAGGCTGTTAGTAAAGACCTAGGACTGTGAGACAATAAGACATAGTAGTTTCTTTGAAAACTATGTCCAGTAAAGAAAAGTGTTAGGAAATAATGTTAGAGTTAGATTGAGACCAGATAATAGGAGACCTTGAATACCAGAATAAGGAATAGCTTTGAAGAAATAGGGTCATCCTTTAATTTGGAAAAAAAGATTTCAAGCAACAGAAATGTCTGAAAAGACTTGTTATTTGTCTTGGTTCCAGAGAGGAGACTTACCCAAAAGATGAGTGGAAGCTTCAGGGAAGCATATTTTGATCTGATATATGCATAGGTACATACATACATACATATATGCACACATATATGACACTCACCCATGCTCCCCCAAAATAGATCGTGCATTAAAAAGAAAACCTTAAACCCACTATGAGCAATATCCTTTGCTACATCTGTAAAGAATGCAGACATGAGGTAACTGAAATCTTTGCTAACAGTTTATAAACTTAATCTATTCATCCTTGTCTTATTCTAGTTATGACTTACTTATTTCCACCTGGAAAGTTGGTCAGGATCGGCAACCAGCAATAGTGCCCCAGGGAAGGAGAAAATTAAAGTAATAAGAGTAGTTTGATTACATGACTACTGAACAACCACATCATGTATGAGAAACCTCATGTATAATATTGAAAAGATGACCCTCCTTATCCCGCCAATCATACTATTTGGGAAACAACTTCACCTTAAATTTGTCTCCAGCAAAATTTCTGGCATTTATCTATTGGACAGCCAAGACTGTGTGGTAAAAATTTGCTCTCCTTTTCTTTTAAACTACATTATTTTATTAATAAATCAGGTACCTCTATCCCCACAAAATATTATAATGCTAGAAGTTATTATACTTACTCTTTTAAGTACCTCAAGATATTAAATATTCAACTTAATAGTGAGTGACAACTAGAAAGGGTTTCACTTTGTATACTATCAGTTCTCTGAACTCTCAAAAAAGAACTAGACTAATAAAAATATGCAGCTTTTGTGGGTCCCCAAAATCAAGTGTGCTTTGGGAAACAGGGAGTTAAAAATCTTTCGGAAGTTAACATGGTATAAGAGTACGAAAAGCTTCTGTTGCTCTAGTTCTGAGGAAATGCTCTCCTTTCTTTCTAACAAAGCTTTCCACAGAAGACAAACTCTGTACACAATAAACAAGGTAAGTATAGGAAAGAAATACTGCAATTCATTAACTCTCAAAAAAGTTATTAATTTTGACATGTAAGAGAAACTTTACTTATGAATGTGAAATGTGCTTCAAAGTGCTGATCTGTTAAAATTCCATAAAACAAGCCTCAAAAATGCAAGTCATTTGTGCCAGCTACAAGTAAATAACTGAAGCAGCATTTCCAGAGAGACTAGGGCAAAGGACAGAACAAACTACAAATCAGCAGAAAAGAAACAAAACATAATTGAATGTTAATAATTCACTGTAGTTACTGCTCTTAAAACCAAAGGAACTAAACAATACAACCTTCATCTGTTTACCTTTACGAATGTATTCATCATCTCTATACTGTCTGAAGTGTGTAGTGTACATTGATGTGAATAGAAAATCCAGGTCTATGGGGGCTTTTTCTTAGAATAGTAATTTTAATGTGTAAATTTAGATTTTGTGTGTTATTTTGCTTTCTTTATCTCTGCATTATAATTTCTTAAAGGAAGAATATACAGACTGGTTTATGAAATATTATGAAGCATTCATATTTTATTTTTCCATGTATTTTGTTTGTGTGCTTGTTCATTTCCTGAGCACAATGTAATGACTGTTTATGTGAATTCTGACAAAGCAAAATTTGAACTTTGAAGAAGACCAAAAATAACAGAGAGGCACCCTAGTGTTCGGTGAAAAACATTAGACTTGGAATCAGAAATATGGGCCCCAGGCCTAGTTTTCTCCTAAGTTCCTGTGGAAACTTAATCAGGTTACTTAATCTCTCTTTCCTTCACCCCTGCAGTGGATATGTCAAACCTAACTGCTCCCACCTCCATCTTACAAAGTGGGTGTATGAAGAACATTACATAATAAATTAAACTGCTCCGCAAATGTAATGAATTATTCCTGTTGTACCCCTACCAAACAACCTGCCATTACTAGTTAGTGCATAGTATTTCCAGTACTTGAACATATTTGATTTTCTGAGTGATTGAGTATGAAATCAAATCAGATTTGACTTAGAGTCATTTCACCAAAGGGTTGTAATCATCTTAGTATGCTGGATGATTTCCCCTAATAAAACCCCCTTTTGAGTAACACACTCCAGTGGAGAGTCCATATGCCAGTAAGTTAGGCCACATCTAGATAAGTTCACATGATGTGGTTAGTATATATAATATGTCCCAAGATATTTTCAGGCATTATAAAGACTTGACAATCACTAACAGTTGCTTTTCCTTTAATGTTTAGGTAAAAAATGAGGAAGGCCCTTAAGGAAATTGATACAGAATTACCAAAAATTTCATGAGAAAAAAATTAAAGGATGTTTCAAAGTAGCATTTTAAATACCACTGATCATTGATTTGGTCCCCTTGTGTTTCTGAGTGTGAAAAAGGGTGCTGGTTCAAGAGGAGGTCTCTGAAGATCTGCCTTTGGCTGTTCATAGAGGTGAGATTCAAATGTCCTCAGATCATGGAAAGTGCCTGAACTCATTTCAGGAATGAAATATTTTTTAAATGCCAGTGGAAATATAAATAAATAATGGGCCACTTTTTATTTTTTATATTTTTTGAGATTAAAAATACATAAACTCTTTTTATTATTACACAATAATCACTAAAGCCCCATTGTATGACATTCTAGCTAAGGAGAAAACAGCATTTTGGTGTTAGTCTGAGATGCTAATTTATTACTGTATTTAGTTCTACTGACCATCTGAGGGAGTTAGAAGTTAAAGTAAAGAGCTGTATCTCTAGTTGTAATCCAAATATGGCAAAGGGCAGGGCTAAAGAAGGGAGTGTCCACATAAAAAACAGGGCTCAGAACTTGTAACAGAAAATTAAAATATACTCCACTCAAGGGAACTCTGTACTTTGCACTTTGGTTAAAGTCTCATTCAGATTTAAATTTCTAAACTTTTCTTAAGAAATTGAGTTTCCCTTGATCTCTTCTCTTCTAAATTGCAGAAATCAGATAAAGCTACTTTGTGAAATGACTTCTCATCATGTTGCTGAAGAACCTATAAAAAAAGTTGCTATCTTTGGAGGAACTCATGGGAATGAACTAACAGGAGTATTTCTGGTTAAGCATTGGCTAGAAAATGGCACTGAGATTCAGAGAATGGGCCTGGAGGTAAAACCACTTATTACTAACCCAAAAGCAGTGAAGAAGTGTACCAGATACATTGACTGTGACCTGAATCGTGTTTTTGACCTCGAAAATCTTGGGTAAGACTATATTTTATATTTGTGTGTGTGAGAGAGAGAGAGAGAGAAATGGTGGGAGTGTGAGAAAGAACATGTATATGAATATATGCATATGATAATTCATATTTGTCCATGTAGTCACTATGGTAAGATCACTTTCACTTTGAATCATACTGTTGAATATTGTGAATTACACAATTGTGTAATTCACAGAAATACACAGAATATTGTGAATTATACATACTGTGAATATTGTGAATTACACAGTTATCTAAAGTGGGCATTCACATGCTCTTTTATAAACTGTTTTAAGCACCAGACTATTCCTACTTGATTTTTCTTCTTAAATGTATTCTATACAGATTGAGACAATAAATAAAAAAGACTTTTATTTTTAAATCATATCCTTAAAGAAACAAGATTTAATAATCCTTTGCATAAAATTAGTGTTAGGCCACTATGCTTGCATACATATGTATTAACTTTCTAAATGCTCTACTATGTTTTCACGAAACTGTGCTTATGGTAGTGCATAAAGTTCTAGTTAAGAAAAATGTGACGTTTGAATTAATATATGTTGAATGAAAGAGTGAATAAATACCCATTGTCAGAAAACATCAGACCACCCTGTGATCTGAAGAGTAGATGTACTTCACTTCATTGGTGGGTTGTTGCAGGTGGGGTGCTGTAGATGACAGGTAAAAAACACTTCACCTGAATTTTCTGAATCTAAATGTCAGCTGATTTATAATACACACATGCAATCATAACACTCTAGGTCAGGTCCTTATTAATTATTTTTGCCTTTGTTTATGTCATAATATCTATGACTATATGTATATATGCCTGTATTTGCTTTTTGCCACTTCTTTCATTTACCTAAAAATATTATTAAATACCTATTTTTCTCAGGACACTCTGCCATGTACTGTACTTCCATGTACATGGGCCATGTACAAAGCTCTGTACAAGATGGTTTCTAGCACTTAAAGAGTTGGTAGACTGCTAGCTAAGATATAAGACACACAGGAACAACTACTTGCACTATTCTATGTTCTTTTTTTCTGATAAACGCTAATTTGATAGAGAATTCCTTGGATTTAGTCTCACCACAGATCAAAAGATGGATACTATGTTTAGTGGAAATACGCCTCATTGTATGGAACAGTTGATTTTCAGAGCATTTATACAGTAGTCATACTTTTTGTATCAAATCATATTTTTATTAGCATAAATTTTAATTTCAGAAATGTTGTATTGTCATGACTGAGGTTATGTCAACATAAGTAATGTTTATCTATTAACCTAAAATATCTGTTAACTAAGTCTTATAGAACAAGTAAGAATCTGTTGAAAAATAACTCTTTTTTGTCAGCATATTAACTTCACAAATAACTCTGAAATGGACTAGGGTGAGTTTTCTTACTATGACCACCCAATAGTGTGCACTTCAGTGACAGCAGTCTTTTAAATTAAATTTACTTCCTGCTTCTTATTGTTAACATTGTTCAAAGGTTAGACAGTTCTCTTTCAGAGTGGTTATGCAAATTTATGAGGTAGATTAATTAACTTCTTGCACCCTCCCTGTCCCAAATGTATTCCCTTTCTTATATTCTTCATCTCAGTGATGGCACCATGACCCACCAAATGCCCCACAGAAATCATCTTAGAACCTTCCCAGTTTTTCATCTCCCCATCTAGTGAGTCACCAAGTTCTCCCAATTATTCTTGCAAGTACTTCAAAATTCCTCTCCATTTTCACTGCCTTAGCATGGCCTCCTAAAGGGTCTCTCTGCATCCAGCCTTACTCCTGTCCTGCCTGCCACCCATTCTCCATATGACAGCTACAGGGATCACTCTAACATGCAAGTCTTATCATCTTTCTCCCCTGCTGAAAATTCTTTTAAAATCTATCCAGAATAGATCTAAGCAACTTAGTATAGATGATAGTACCCTTCTGGGTCCTGCACCTCCCAATTCTTTCAGCCTCATCTCTTGGGACTCTTCCAAGGGGAGCTGGACTCCAGGCATGAGAACTCAAGTGTTCATTACGTTTCAAAACTACAAGCCTTGGCCGGGTGTGGTGGCTCATGCCTGTTATCCTAGCACTCTGGGAGGCAGAGGTGGACGGATCGTTTGAGCTCAGGAGTTCGAAACCAGCCTGAGCAAAAGCAAGACTCCATGTCTACTAAAAATAGAAAGAAATTAGCTGGACAACTGAAAATACATATATAACAAATTAGCCACGCATAGTGGCGCATGCCTGTAGTCCCAGCTACTCCAGAGGCTGAGGCAGTAGGGTCACTTGAGCCCAGGAGTTTGAGGATGCTGTGAGCTAGGCTGAGGCCATGGCACTCTAGACTGGGCAACAGAGCAAGACTCTGTCTCAGAAACAAAACAAAACAAAACAAAAACTACAGGCCTTAACTCGGAGCAACTGAGTAGGCAGTGGTGCCATTTACCCAAATGGGGTAAAATGAAGTAGAACCAAATTGGTCAGGGAAGACCTCATGGGATTACTTCATGAATTAACTTTTAAAATGCATGTATTAATATATACATTAGGTTTGGTTTGCATATAATAGAAACCTGAGAATAGTGGCTTAAACAAATAAGGTTTTCTTGTTCACAAATAGTAAGTCCAGAGGCAGGCAGTTCAGAGCTGGTGCAGTGGCTACATGGGATCATTAATGCCACAATTCCCTTCCAGCTTCCCACTGCACTGTTCTTAGCATGCAGCTTTGTCCTCATAGTTTTTGTTTCATAGTTGCAAAACAGCTATTCACCTTCCTGACTGCATTCCAGGCAGGAATTACCCAGGTACAAACTGTAGGTCCCTTGGAGATACCAGCCAGGGAATAGAAATAGACGGAATTATAGGAAAAAGTGGGTGGGTGGCTTAATGAGGAAAAATGAATTTAACCTTTTATCATATATAGGAAAAAAAATCCTATTTATTGCAGGAGGTGGGGAGAGAGTGGATAGAGGCTCATTTGAAAACATAAGAAAAACCATTAGCCCTTGTCCCCCCAAAATACATGTATACATGTAACTGCATTTTTGGAGGATTTAAAGACACTTTATAAACCTTGTCACTGGACCACTAGAGGTTCCTGTACCTCAATTAAGAATCCCTAATTAGATTATGTGGACACCCAAGTTTGACTATTTTTGTGCACTAGAATTAGCTAGAGTGGTAAAAACAGTGCATTTTATGGTTTGGCCCCATAATAGATAACCCACTGTACCATAACTACTAAGAAAATATTCATTAAATTAATAGATATGTTTTGCTCAAGGCTGAAATCAAATGGTAAATCCTGTTTGATATGTCCTATCCGTGACCAACCACATAAATGAACTATTATTTTGCAGGCATGCCAATGCAACATTAGTTACATGGAATCAAATGAAGAAAAAATGTAATTTTTTGTTTATAAAGGTGTCAAATAAGTTTTCACTTCCTATACAGATTTTTCATATTAAATGTTTGGCAACCAATTCTTTTCACACTGTGTTCTTATTATATATTTATGTTATCTTAGCCATGATATTAATCTTTTTCTTTCTGCTATTATAGCAAAAATATATCAGAAGATTTGCCATATGAAGTGAGAAGGGCTCAAGAAATAAATCTTTTGTTTGGGCCAAAAAATAGTGAAGATTCTTATGATGTTATTTTTGACCTTCACAACACTACTTCTAACATGGGCTGCACTCTTATTCTTGAAGATTCCAGGAATGACTTTTTGATTCAGATGTTCCATTATATTAAGGTAATGTTAATGTTATTAATTGATAAGTTAGCTTATGACCCCTACTTTTGAGTCAATTATAGATATGAGATAACCAGAAAAGGATCAAGTGGGAGGGTCCAAGAAAAATGGAATCTATCTCACAGACAGGCTTGGGGATTTGGGAGAAAGGGTGGTACCAGAACATAGAGGCAATGGTGACAGGCAGGAGAAAAGGAGAGGAAAAAAATAAAATAATAAAATACTTGTGGATGTTTGTGTCTACAAAATTATATATTTTATCCAGACAGCCACCAAATTTTAGGCTACTTAGTAAAACTGAGTAAAATTAATATTAAAATTTTACATGATGTAACTGAAGTATATCAATTATAGGGCTTTAGGAAACTTAAGAAATAGTCATTTAATGTTGACTAAAAGCCCAGTGATAAAAAGATTGGCTTCCTTTGGGCCTGCACCTATCCCCATTTAACTTAAATATTACAACATATATCCAACCTGTCAGTACTTCATATAACTCATCATTTTAAGGCTCAGAAATCTACAAGATCAAAAATTCAGCAATCCAGTGCCTATAACTAGAGAAAATTTGCTAGAAAATAACAGTCAAGCAAAAACACAAATAATGAATTGTACGTTTATTTATGTATAATAGATATATTTCCTTCCTGAGAGGTAGTATTATTTAGTGGAAAGAGTTTGACCCACCTAGTCAGGAGAACCTGGGTTCAAATTCCTGGCTTTCTCATTCACTAACCTTGGACAAGATACCAAGTCCCAAAACCTTGCTTTCCTGATTTTGTAAAATTAGCATAATAGCACTTACCCTATATGGATACTAAAGGCTTTAAATGAGGTAAAGTATTTAAAGAGTTTAACTTAATATCTAGCCTACAGTAAAGGTTAACTTTTTTCTTTTGAGACAGGGTCTTGCTCTATCACCCAGGCTGGGGTGCGTTAGAGTGCAGGCTACCTGCTGCCTCAAACTCCCTAGCTCAAGTGATCCTCCTGACTTAGCATTCAAAGTAGCTAGGACTACAGGCACATGCCACCACTCCTGGATAATTTTTTTTCAAGTTTTTGTAGAGATGGAGTCTCGCTGTGTTGCCCAGGCTGGTCAACTATTGTTTTTGTTTCCCTTAAGTTTTTGACAAAAACTAGATAGGAGTTATTCCTGTCCGTAGGAGATCACAATGCAGCTATTCTTTGTTGCTCATTGAAGAGAGAGCTGAATGCTTGGGTTGCCAGACACGGAAGCAGCCTGGCTGATACTCAGTTGTCAAAACAAAGAGGCCTGTCTCAAATTCTTATTCAGATAAGTGGGAGGAGGGGGAATCACCCAACATCTGTAAGGACCAGGACCACAGGAATAGAAACAGAATTTTTTAAGAGACTAAATGTAACCAGTGATGAAAACAAAAACAACTAAATCCATGAAGAAGGAAATTTTATTTTATATTCTTTGAACCTGGTTCTGGAGAATTATTTAATGTACATTTTACCCAGAAATCTCTGTATAACTTAATTTTATATACACATGTTTTTATATGTATGTTTCATTTGTATGTTTTCAAAGCTATAATAACATTGGGTTATAAAGTGTTTCATAAAGCTGTCTTACTAATTTTAGGTAATGAAGTAAAACATATTGAAGGCATCATTGACTCTGTTGCAGCAAAGAGAACAAAACATATGGTCTTTACATAATAAGAAAGATGTTTCAAATTTTTTTCAGACTTCTTTGGCTCCGTTACCCTGCTATGTTTATCTCATTGAGCATCCTTCTCTCAAATATGCAACCACTCGTTCTATAGCCAAGTATCCTGTTGGTAAGTCACACTTCCCATTGTCATAACTGAATAAAATGTGTCCTGGCTGAAACTCCAGGAAAATTATTTTTGAAAGAAAATTTATAGCTACCTTGCATATCATTAGACTTATAATTATCAAGTAACAAGCAAATTAACCCCAGGATTATTTGAGGCTCTAACTATACCAAATTTCCTCAATTTCATTGAGAAACTTTCTGGTTTTGTACATATTGTTTCCTTTGTGGTAATGCTTGGTCCTTCAACTTAGTCTGGCACAATTCTTCTCATCCTCGAGATACAGTTCAAATGTCACCTTCTATGGAACTTTCTCTGACTCTACTCCACAGAACTAATTACTCCAAAAATTTGTACATTCAACAAATCTTTATTTGTCTGCCCACTAGAGACCAACACCGTGCTAGGTGCTGGAGACACAACAACGAGCAAGACACACAGTCTGCTCTCAAAGAGCTTAGTATCTGAGGAGAAGACAGACAACCAGTTAATTACTGCACAGATTGATAAATGCTATGCAATTACAGAGGACTATAAGAGCACAGAGGAAAGACCTAACCCAGTCGTGAAGTATCATAGAAGGCCCAAATAAGTGGTATCCATGCTGAGATTGTGTGTGTGTGTGTCTGTGTGTGTGGAAGGAAAGGGGTAAATTGGGAACAGTCAACAGTATTCTAAACCAGTGCTTTAAAGTTATGTGTGGTAAAAGGCCATTGTTTATTTCCCATCTTCTACAGAGCAATACCATTATAAAATATAATTTAGAAAGTGAATTACTTGAAAAATGATCACATACTTGAATGTTGCAACAACGTCAAATTGCTATAAAAGTGTCTGAACAGTTACTTTAATTTCTGTACTTATCTTTCCTAGAACTAGTAGCAAACAGTTGATGGATCAGACCTGGTCCTCAGACAATGCTTTGAGGAAAAAGGAATATCATGCACAAAGGCCCAAAACCCCTGATTGATTACATGCTATCCTGATATGCTGTATCCTCCATTTGTCTTAGCATTCTGTGTTCCCTACCTCCTTCTGCAGGCTAATAATATATGTTTAATAAATATTAGTTTAAATTACCAGTGAGCACCCAATTCAAACTTATAAATGATCATCATTCACACATATCCCACATAGACCCGTATAAACTTATCCATTCCTTCCCAGACAGTTCCTATAACTATGACTGTACAATAGGTAAATCACTAGCCATCTAACTTTGGTAATACATACATTCATGAGCTTCTCCAGAGTGGTCAGGTTTGACTGGATCAGAAAGGCAGTGGGTCTCAGTTTCTCCAAAGTGCTTGTGGTCCCAATGATCTACTCCAAGCTGTTTTCTGGCCTTCTCCTTCTCAAGAACTGGGTCTGAGATTTTACTCTGCTTACAATCCAATGGGTTAGCCTTCCACTGCTTGGTGAATGCTGGCAGAAAACACAAAACTTCTGAGACAGAGACATAGAACAAATTATTAATAATAGTATTAATATTAATAATAGCAGAGTATCAGCATTTTTGCACCATTCTCCAAGCCCCACTTCCCATAGGATGACAATGAAGAGAGCCATAAGACAACTATGCATGCTAGTGGTTGCATTTTAGGAGAAAAGCACTAAGCTGAGGGAACTTGAATTTTTTATAATGGGCAGCAAACATGCTCTAAGGAAGACACTATCCCTACCTTCCAAGGCTCTTCACTATATATACATCTTGGAAAAGATAACCTGGCACAAAGGTAGTCAATGTCTTTGTCACAAGACATGTAGAAACACAAAACACCCATGAAGAATCTTCTCCCAACATCCCTCTTAGCACCTGCTTTGCAGTAGTCTTTCACGAATGGTATTTATTATCCATGTGCTTGTTTGCCCTGTCGGTTACTAAATGTGACTTCATCTTTACCTTCTGGTAACTTCCAACATGCAGCTCCACACTCTTATATTCCCTCTCAGATAGACATTCTCTTTTTTCTATATTACATTCTCTTTCCTGAGTGGCCTATTAGCATAATTAATTAACTGCTGACTACACTACAATTAAAATTGCTATTATAACTTAAAATCTTTTTGTTAAATTTCAGGGGGCTTAACCAAGAATCATTAAATTTAAAAGCAAGTTACAAACAGAGCAGGAAAATGAAAATCAAAAAATTATCCTGGTTATTCAAATATTGATACTTCTTGTGCATAACAAAGGGATCTGTTGGAACAAGTTAAATATCCAAATATAGGAAATTAGTTGAAATAAACCAAAGACTCAACAATAATGTCTTGTTTCTCTGAGACACCAAATAAAAGCATAAGATTTCAAACTTTCAAAGATCAATCTTAGTCTATAATATTTATTGGCAATTCTGCTCTTAGAGCAAATGTTAATATGTTTGGCCCTTACAGTAGAGCCAAATTTTTTAAGTGTTTCAATATGAGGGAATATTACTCATTATAAATAATAAGAAATATTGTATGTTCTCCTTCCAACTTTGCTATTTTATTGGGAATACTTTTATATCAAGCACTCATTGAAAATAAAAAACACATTTAAGATTGGCGAGACACTCTTTCTGAGTCAACATTTTATAATATGATAAGACTATTGCTTCATACAAATTTGCTTTAACTTCTAATAGACATCTTTGCATTCTATTGCCAAGGCAGCTGAAATGTGACAGGATCATTCTAAGTAAATTTTATCCCAGAAAGAAACAATTTGCTGCAGCCAGTCTTATGATCATTCACACACACACATACACACACACACACACACACACACGCACACACACACACACAAAGAGTGACTGGACACAGTCTTCTCTTAACTTTCTCAGATCAGCCATGGTCTCATTTGAGTGATTTTTATGACCATCATTCCTTTAGCTCCACTCCTGACTATGCCAGGGTCATGTCCTACAAATTTAAATATTCTGCTCTGATATGGGGTCTTATGTCAAAGTTGGTTTTTGACTTGGAAAATATGACCACCCTACAATCAGAAAAAACAAAAACAAAAAACTTCAATAACTGGCTTTTTTGAGTCAAATGCCAGTCCACAGCTTCTTCTCCACATAAGACTACCAACTCCGTACCTTCCATCTCCCCCATAAACAAGAATGTGTAGAATGCTTTTGGCTGCAGGTAACTCAAAACGGCTTAAGCACTAAGATAAATTTTATAATAACTCAACATCATGAGTGACCAGGTTACTTTTATCTCTCTAGTCTACCATATATAGTATGTCTGTAAATGACCTTATAGCCACAAAATGTCCACTGTACTTCCAAGCATCATATGCCAACATGGCAATATCTGGAGGGGATACAGGAGCTCCCCTGCAGATCTTCCATTATAGCCCCTTGGTCAGAACTGGGTCACACATCCATTCTTAAATCAATCACTAGGGTAATGGTATTACTATGATTGCCTTAAACTATTCAACATTTATACTCGAGCTGCAGAAAAATTCAACTACCTTGAAGATTGGAACCCCAACCAAAATTGAGATTCTCTTATAAAAGAGGAAGGTGGAATGGATTTGAGATAGGCAAACAACAATGTCTTCTATGGTACACATACAGACATATCCATAAACATATTTTTTCACACATTTATGTAAATCATCTATGCACAGATGCATACCTCAGCCACGCTTGTGATACCATATACCCAAATGTGTGTTTATACATATATGAAAGAAAGCTGAGCACAACAAATAGAATATGAAGATGAAGGAGAATATAGTAAGATTTTGTGGATTGGAAAATAACAGAAGTGGGTGAAAATAGGATGAGTATAGAAGAATGCAGTATCTGAATTGGGTGGAAGCAATGAGAATAGAATGAGAGTGGTACATTTAGTAAGTGGTTTGACAAATGGAGAAGGTGATAATAGGAGAGATGGCTTTGTGGTAGACTTGCACAGGAAGGAAGGGATTACATATGTAGTTTAGAGTATTTTGTAGGTGTAAGGATATACAGCCATAGGAAAGACACCTAATAGTATAGTCATAGTTTTATTGGGGTGAGAAGAAATTAATACAAATTTTTCCTACAGAAAATTAAAACCATTGCACTATTGCATCAGGGTAGGTTGTTATATTAAGTGCAAGAATGTTGCTCTAGGATCACATAGATTGTCATGTTGACTTAAATCCATAATTGATCCAGTCTAGATTTCTATGACTCCATAAATGTCCTTCCTCCTGTCAAACCTAAATGTTAGATCTATAAGAGTTTCTCCTTGTATCCATCTATTGTTGTGTCAGCATAAATTTGTCTACCTCTTTTACTATGTTATGATTTTAAAATATTTTGACAACATTGAAGGAAATTGAAAGAAAAAAGACCCTGAGATCTTACAATTTCTAACATAACTCTTCGATTTTTTTCTCTCCCAGTCTATATTCACTATCCCTATAACTTGAGCATGCAAACATTCTGCTTCATTTTTGCCAACATTATGTTTCAAATATTTTCCATGTTGCTACATGGCCTACCTTTTAAATAATTTTAATGGTTGGATTATAGATCTTGATATATTAAAATGCTCATTTTGTAATATATTCTAATACTTAAATAAATATGACTATATCTCCTTCTGTGCCTAGGTATAGAAGTTGGTCCTCAGCCTCATGGGGTTCTGAGAGCTGATATTTTGAATCAAATGAGAAAAATGATTAAGCATGCTCTTGATTTTATACATGATTTCAATGAAGGTAAGTAGGTAATGAACGTAATATATATAAAACTTAACCACTAGACATTTAAATGGCAATTGGAACCTAGGTCAAATTTACCATGCTCTGCCAAATGAAACTTCCAAATCCAATCCTGGCCCAGCTCAGTGGCTCACATCTGTAATCCTAGCACTTTGGGAGGCCAAGCTGGAAGGATCCCTTGAGGTCAGGAGTTCAAGACCAGCCTAAGCAACATAGTGAGACCCTGACTCTACCAAAAGAAAAAACCCAAATCTTTATTTTCCTATTAATCTCCATTTTAAAAAAACAAAGACCAGGAAATATAAATGTCCAATGAACACATAAAGGGATGTTCAACATCACTATCAATTAGAGAAATGAAAATTAAAATGAGAAACCATTTCTCATATTAGATAGGGAAAATATTAAAATCAATAGTATTAAGCATTGGTAAAGGTGTAGGAAAAGGGGATACTCTCATTGCCTGCTGGTGAACATGTAAAGTGTTTCCCTTTATAGGGTAGTTTTACAGTATCCATTTCTTAAAATGCACAAATCTTATTACCCAGCAATTCCACTTCTCAAAGAAACACAAGCACATGCACAACCAACATGTTGTATATGAGATTGTTATTGCAGCACCATTTGTGATGGCAAAACAAACGACCTGAATGTCAGATCAGCTGATGAACAGTTAAATAAAATAACATGGAAGAATCTGAAAAACACATTGTTAATTAAAGATAGCAAGTTGCAGACTAAAACATATGGTATACCAATTTGCTTTAAAATAATAATACTAATACTTTCTAGAATACATATATATATATATATGTTAATTTATCACAGGAAAAGCTCTAGAAGAAAACACACCAAACTGATAACATTGATTACTAGGGAGGGGAGGAACAAAACAGATTAATTTTGTTTTAATTATATTCAATAAGAATAATATATTCATGTATTATTTTGTCATTAAAAATTAATTAAATGGGGACTGATGAGTGGGATGGGTTATGTAACTCTATGTACTTACTATCTGTTCATGTATTTGGTGAATCTAAAACTACGCTAAAAACTGAAGTCTACTAATTATATAAAAGAAGTTTACTTTAAAATTGAAAAAATACTTAAAATCAAAGGGACATTCTACAATGTAAATAATTATTTCAACAGGCTGAGTTAAATTGTTGTTGAGGAATGGTTACAGAGCCGGGTGCATAGTTTGGTGTCTGTGGGAACTGTAATTCCTTAGCCTCAGTTTGTGCACCCTACTGCAATCACAGGAATTTCTTTTGTGCTTGAAAATCCTTTGACTCCAAAGTCATGAAAACTGAAAAATTGCTTTTTACTGCCTTCATGTGAGAGCAGACTCTATGCTGTCAGGCTGGTGTTGGGAAAGTCACAACATATTCACAAGAAACCCTTTGAATAGTGAGTATGGGACTACGGTACATGCAGAAATGATACACCCAGGGAGAAGGCCACAACCCTGAGAGGAAACCATGGTTTTCAGATACTGGTCCATAGATTCCTACCACAGGGGTGGGGAATAATAGCTCCAGGACACCCCACCCCTTATCTCTGCTTCAACCAGAGAAGTTCTTCTGTCTGTCTTATTGATTTTCCACATAACATTTCATTTAAGCAGGGGGTTCTACAATTCAAAAATTTCAAACCGCTATTAATTTAGACTATCCAGTTTGGTGGGTTTTTAACTAAGCATCAGTATCCAAAAAAATACTGACAAAAGAATCATTAACTGCCTTGACTTTGTGCTGCTTAAAATCATTATTAGTGACTTGGGTAAGTATATATGTGACATGCTTATCTAGGTGATAGATGGCAGGAAAATATCAGGAGAGCATCCTGGTTGAGAAAGTGGATACAAGAAGTCCTGACGATCTTTAACAATCATTTAACCAAATGTTTGAGATTAAATACATCAGGGACAAAGTTTTGCTCTTAACATTTAAAAAAATCCCAGAATGAGGAAGATCTTTTTTCTGCCATGAATAGCACTTGAGAACTGTGAATAAATTCTGAGTCCATAATTCTGGAGAAATGTCTATAAAGAGGAGTTTAACCAAAGAGAGAGTTAAGAATGTTGAAGAGTTTGAAAACCATAATAAGAATAATCCCTCAGATGCACATGGAACTTTCAGTTTACAGAGTACCTTCACATATGTCTTCACATATGTGACCACATGTGAGTAGTGACTGATAGAACTAAGGATAGTTATACTGACAAAAAAGAAGGCCTAAGGCAATTTTATTTCAGAGTTTCAAAAGGTTACATTGGAAAGAAATTAGACATGTTTTCTGTTACCCAGAGCACAAAATAGAATCAGTGGAACAAAGTTATCTACAGACAGAAATTTCTAATTAACAAAGCTGAACAGCAATGAAATGGACCACTCTTTGTGAGGCTATTCATGTAGAAGTAAGATGACTACATGGCCAGAACATTACGAATAATACGCAAGCACTGATGGAAGTTAGGCTTTCAAGGCTCCTTCCAATTACTGAGATTCACAAAAATATACTCCTTTATGTTCTATCAGTTTTTCCTTTCCTCCCACTGGACCTTCTGGTTTAAGGAAATTATGTCTAGTATGTTCCCATTTTCATCTTGGAAAGTGTGGTAGATTTTCATTCTTCCCTTTCCTACATCCACATCCTTGCAGTGTGATGCTTCAGATCCTTCTCTTAGGAGATGGAGTCTGTTTCCCCACCTCTTGAATCTGGCTTGGCCATGTGACTTTTTCCGTGTGTGCCACAGAAGAGGTTTTAAAAGGACTTGTGCGTTGGGGCTTGCTCTCTTGCTGCTCTTGGGATATATACACTGTGTATCAGTCCACACTGGCATGCTGGATAATGAAAGGCTATAAGGTAGAAAACTCAGGCACTCTAACCAACAGTCATGCAACTCCAGCTGACAGCCTGTCAAATGCCAGACATAAGAGTGAGACCATCCCAGATCATCCAGCCTCCAGATGACCTGCCAACCCACCACAAACACATGAGCAGGACAATCGGAAATCAGTGAAGCCAGTCCTGTCCAGAGGAACTGCCCAACCAACCCACAAAATAACAAGCTAAATTAAAAGGTTATTGTTTCAAGCCATGAAGTTTTGGTGTAGTGTGTTACACAGCAAAAGCTAATTGGTACATAAGTGATCACAGGGTATCCTCATTCTAACTCTGAGTCACAACCCTTTGAATTGTGACCATAACACACTATGGGCCCTGTAGTGGATAAAAGTGCATCCTGTTTGTCCAGAGATTACCTGGTGTATTTGTAAACTACTCATTTTCCAAGTTTCTGGGCATTGGGTTGTTTAATGTTACTGCGTCTCTGGAAGTTGGACTCCACTGTTGGCAGACTGCCTGCATACCGAGATCTCCCTCAGGAGCTGTTCAAGTGTTTAATGGACTTAGCTAAGAGAAAGCATTAGACTGAAGTTCACCTAATTTGCTGTAAGTCCTCCTGAAAATATGCAATCATAGAATGTCGGAGCTGGAAAGGCCCTCCAAGATAAGCTAATCCAAAACCTTTGTTTGACATATAAAGTAATTGAGCCTCAAAATGTGAAGCATCTTGTTCAAGATTACATAGCTAGGAGATTAGAGCCCAGGTGTCCTGACTCCCAGTCCTAGGCTGTTTTTCTCCCACACTGACTTTTTGAATTCTGTTTTCCTCTGTCCATTAGTGTATTTGTGAACAGAATACTAATAGGAATAATTCAAGAACAATTTTTGGCTTAGTGTTGTTTATGAGCATCCTTAACTAAACATGGTGTGTTTTCTCTGGAACTCTTTTCATTTTGTTGTTGCTGTGGTGGTGGTGGTGGTGGTGGTTCCTTCTTTAAATTATCAACTTCCCTTTTTTTTTATTTCGGCATATTATGGGGGTACAGATTTTAAGGTTTCAATAAATGCCCATTCCCCCCCTCCCACCACAAGTCTGAGTCTCCAGCATGACCATCCCCCAGATGGTGCACATCTCACTCATTATATATGTATATACCCGTCTCCTCCCCCCTCCCACCTGCCCAATACCCTATTACTGTAGTACCTATGTGTCCACTTAGGTGCTGTTCAGCCTTAATACCATTTGCTGGTGAGATATGTGGTGCTTGTTTTTCCATTCTTGGAAACTTCACTTAATATATGGGTTCCACGCTCTAACCAGAAAATATAAGATGTGCTATATCACCGTTGTTTCTTAAGCTGAAAGTACTCCATGGTATACATATACCACATTTTATAATCCATTCTGGATTGATGGCACTTGGCTGTTTCCACAGCCTTGCAATTATGAATTGGCGCTGCTATAAACATTCGAGTGCAGGTGTCTTTTTTGTAGAGTGTCATTGGATCTTTTGGGTAGATGCCCAGCAATGGGATTGCTGGATCAAATGGTAGATTCACTTGTATCGCTTTAAGGTATCTCCATATTGCTTTCCATTGTATTTCCATATTGCTTTAAGGTATCTCCATATTGTTGAACTAGTTTTCAGTCCCACCAGCAGTGTAGGAGTGTTCCTCTCTCTCCGCATCCACGCCAGCATTTATTGCTAGAGACTTTTTGATAAAGCCATTCTCACTGGAGTTAAGTGATATCTCATTGTGGTTTGATTTGCATTTCCCTGATGATTACAGATGTTGAGCATTTTTCATATGTTTTGTTGGCCTTCTTCTGTCTTCTTTAGAAAAGTTTCGTTTTCAAGTCCTTTGCCCACTTTTTAATAGGGTTATGATTTTTTCTTGCTGATTTCATGAGTTCTAATATATTCTAGTACAGCCCTTATCGGATGCATAGGCTGCAAAAATTTTCTCCCATTCTGTAGGTTGTTTTTACTTTCATGATATTTCTTTGGCTGTGCAGAAGCTTTTAGTTTGATCATGTCCCATTATTTATTTTGTTGCTGCTGTGATTGCCTTTGGGGACTTCTTCATAAACTCTTTGCCTAGGCCAATGTCTAGGAGAGTGTTCTAACATTTTCCTCTAGAAATCAACTCCCCTTTTTACAGGAGGTTTTTTTAGTTGCTATTTAATTTGTTTTTTTTTTATTTTGGATATTATGGGGGGTACAGATTTTAGGTTTCACATAATGCCCATTTCCCCCCTCCCCCCAAAAAGTCTGAGTCTCCCATCCATGACCATCCCCCAGAGGGGGCACATCATCACTCCATTATGTATGTATATACACCCCACTCCCTCCACCCCCCCTCCCACCGTGCCCAATACCTCATTTACTCGTAGTCCTATGTGTCACACTTAGGTGCTAGTCAGTTAATACCGAGTTTTCTGAGAGAATATATCTGTGCTTGTTCCATTCTTGGGATATCTTCACTTAGTGTATGGGTTCCAGCTCTTAACCAGGAATAATATAAAGTGCTTATCACCATTGTTTCTTAGAGCTGAAAGTACTCCATGGTATACATGATACCACATTTTATTAATCATTCTTGGATTGATGGGCACTTGGGGCCCTGTTTCCACAGCCTTGCATTAGGAATTGTGCTGCTATAAACATCGATGCAGGTGTCTACTTTTTGTAGAGTGTCACGACATTTGGGTAGATGCGCCAGCAATGGGATTGCTGGTCAAATGGTAGATTCACTGATCCTTTAAGGTATCTCCATATTGGCCTTTCCACAGAGGTGAACTAGTTTGCAGTCCCACCAGCATGTAGGAGTTTCTCCTCTCTCCGCACACGCCAGCATTTATTGTTTGGAGATTTTTTGATAAAGGCCATCTCTCACTGGAGTAAGGTACTATCTCATTGTGTTTTGATTGCATTTCCCTGATGATTAGAGATGTGAGGCATTTCTTCATAATGTTTGTTGCCATTCTTCTTCTCTTTTACGAAAAATTTCTGTTGCAAGTCTTATTGCCCACTTTTTTAATGGGGTTTTTGATTTTTCGTTCCTATTTTCGTGAGTTCTAAAGTATATTCTAGTATCAGTCCCTTATCGGATGCATAGTGATGAAAATATTCTCCCCATTCTGTAGCTTGTCCTGTTTACTTTCATGACTATTTCTTTGGCTGTACAGAAGCTTTGTAGCTTGATCATGTCCATTTATTTATTTTGTTGCGTGCTGTGATCCTTTGGGGACTTCTTCATAAACTCTTTGCCCAGGCCGATGTCTAGGAGAGTGTTTTCATATTGTTTTTATCGTAGGAAAAGAATTTCCTCCCTGTGCCATTGAGGTCTATAAAATAATGGAGAAAGTTGATTATCCCAGGAATGAAAGTGGAGAGATTGCTGCTGTTATCCATCCTAATCTGCAGGTAACATTTGCTGTTCCTTTAAAATATTGAAAATAATAATGTAGAACCTTTAAGTAGAACTTAAAGCAGAACCTTTAAGTAGAACTTCACAGTTCATATAGCATTTTAAATACATTAGTTTATTTGATGTTCTCAAAAACACTACAGTGTAGGGAAGATATATAAATAAATAAATATTTATTGAGTATAACTTGTGCTGGCTCTGGGGATACACCCATGAGTATAGTCTGTACTCTCATGGAATTTATAGTCTAGATATACTCACGGGAAAGCAAAAATTCTACCCAAGCGCTGTGGGTAGGAATAATTACATCCATTTTAATATATGAAAATAGAGGCTCAGAAGTTAGATCCTTCCCATATCCATATAGCTACTAATGACAGATCCAGAACTAATGGTCTTTGCAGTTGACCAAATTGCCGCTACCTCCCTGCGATCACCACTGAATAAGTTAGAGCAAAACAAATAGAATCTCTTTCTTTGGGATGTTTTCTGCCATGATACCCTGACTTTCCTCAGAACCCTAGAATCTACTCCTCACATGATTTGATCAATAATGACATAGTTAAGGAGGAAGAAAAAGCTCTTGGGAGAGCTTAGGAAGTTTAAATCTGGAAAAGCAGGGAGGAGTAGAGGTTCCAAAAAGCTAAAATATCGACTCCCCGTTGTGAGTACACTACACAATCTCAGACCTCAGAGATGGAAGAGATCTGGTAGATAATCTAGTCTGGTGCTTTCAACCCTGGCTACACATTACCTAGAGAGCTTTTTGGAAAATAACAATGCCGGGACTCCACTCGGAGATAATCTGATCTTATTGGCTTGAGTAATCAGGGTTGAAAACCAGCGATTCAGTTCAAATCCCCTGTTTAATGACTCTAATAGTCATCCAGACTTGCAACTTAATTAAGTGGCCTGTCCGAGCATACAGACTAGTGAGGCAAATCCTGCATCGTGGCTTAAGGGGACCCAGGTGGAAACCTGAAGTAGGCGCATTAGGCAACATTTTGAAGGAAAGATAAAGATTAGGGAGAAGAAAGGAAGTAAACGATATAAGTGACAAAAACACCAAGAAACAGTATAAGAAACAGAGGCCAAGGTGATGATAACAGACTAAAACAGCATTTTTTTAGTTTTATAATATCCTTAAGGATATTCTTGGGTACAAAAATAATCCTGGAAGGCTGAGAAGTGAGATTCACGAGAGCAGTAACAGAGTTTGTAGTAGGTCTTGAAAGTTAGGAAGAGTGTTTTTGATTTGATAGACAATAAAGAATTAATTCAATAAGGAATAAATATTCCACAGGAGGGATTGATTGGTTAATTATTTCAACAAATATTTTTGAATGACAACTAAGTCTGTTCTGGGCCCTGAGTTTGAAGATAGGCAAGGTCTCTCATGGAGTTTCCATACTAATTGGGGGAGAACAAACCAAGAATAAGTAAACAATATATAAACCAGGTCATTTCAAGCTGTAATAAGTGATAACAAAGCAAAGGATAACAAAGGGTTCCAATTAGATGGAGTGATCAGAAAGCACCATCTCTGAGATGATGGCAGTGAAGCTAGAGCCTGGAAGATGAGAAGCCAGCCACATGGAAAGCAAGTGCAAAGGCCCTGAGGCTGGAACAAACTTGGGGCTTTTGAGGAACAGCAAGAAGACCAATGTCCATGGAGAGTAGGAGTGAGCAGAGAACTGTAGACCCCGGAGCCAAAGCAGGGACGTGCTTATGAGTATAGATTTTGTTCTAAGAGTGATGGGTCTTAATCAGGGATGCTAATTGGAATCACCTAGGGGATCCCTCCCAATGCCTGGAACCTACCACAAACTGAAACAGTGCTTCTTGAACTCAGGCCACATGAGAATCACCTGGGGAGCTTTTAAAAAATCCTGATTCCTAGATCCCATCTCTAGAAATTCTGATTTAATTCGTCATGGTGGAAACAGAATCCTTTGAGTTCACCAGGTGATTTTCACGTGGCTCAGGTCTGGGCAGCCCTGTACTACAGTGGAGCCTCTGCAGGTGGGGCTAGCCCCGTGTGTGTTGAAGTTCCTTCAGCTGTCCTCGGGCACACCTCTGCCTGAAAGCCACTGGTCCAGAGCTGTAGTTCTCAACTGGGCCACCCTGTAAAATCATCTGAGGCTTTAAAACAAAAAACAGTGAACTATAAATGGGTAGTATGAGGAATTTGAGGAGAAGAAGGAGGTAGGTGACATAATTATGCATCTTGATTACATGGTTATAAGTTATATGCCTATGCTAAGCATATGTTAAAATTCATAGAAGTGTACACAAAAACAAGAAAATTTAACTGTATGTAAATTTATTATAAAATAAATTTTTAAAATAACAATGCCTGGGCCTCACTCTTCAGATTCTGATTTGATTTATCTGAGATGGGGCTGCCCCTCTACCTACGTATATGTATATTAACATCCCGGCAGTCATAACGTGCAGCCAGGATTGAGAAAATTGCCGCGATGCAGCGCTTCTCAAACGTCAGTGCTGTGCGTGTGAGTCTCTGGAGATTTGTCAACATGAAGACTCTTAGTTAGTAGGTCTGCAGTGGGGAATGAAATTCTACTTCTCTAACAAACTCCTGGGTGATTCTGATGCTGCTGGGAAATGTTAGAAATGCAGAATCTCAGGCCCCCACCCCCAGCCTATAGAACCGGAATCTTCATTTTAACAAAATCCCCAGATGATTTGCGAGCACGTCAAAGTTTGAGAAGAACTGTTCTAGGGTCCTGCAGTGTGACAGCACATTGGTGCTTGGAGGCTCAAAGGTCCAAATCCCTGGTGCGGGATCTTTCAGATAACTCAGTTGTTATCCTCATGTGGGAGCACATTTGGAATACACAGCCTTATCTTAGACTTTTTCCCATTCCACCCTCATCTTCTCTCACCAATCCCCATCAGAATAGAATCTCTGGTACAATGTGGCTCATTTGTATATCCCTAACAGTAGAATGACTTGCACACAGAAGGCTCTTAATGGATATTTCCTATATTTTGCTGAACAGAATTTAATTTCAGTTGGCAAGAGGTAGACTATGCACTTAGGTAGACACCCATTTGGTTTTGCCTTTAAATATTATAAATTTCTTTGGCAACATCCAAGGCAAACCTGGCATTGAAGCAAACTTTAATTATATGTGTCAGGTATAAAAATTAAAAGGGGAACTCAACACTGCTGCCAAAATTAATTGCACAATTTCAGTTTAGTCAGAGCACTCATATGGCTCTCAATGCATCACTCAAGTATCTCTTCTAAAGGAACAGAATGCTATAATTTGTGATTATGTAGAGTCTGACATAAATTTTTTAAGTAGGAGAAAAAAAAAGAAATGTAATTTATTTATTTTAATTGTTTCCTGAGAGGATCAAGACTGGAAACCACTGCACCCTGGGGATCCGGTGTTTTTAACTCTTGACGGGAAGACTATTCTGCTGGGCGGAGACTGTACTGTGTACCCGGTGTTTGTAAATGAGGCTGCATATTATGAAAAGAAAGAAGCTTTCGCAAAGACAACTAAACTAACACTCAATGCCAGAAGTATTCGCTCCTTGTCACGTTAGAAGTCACTTCTAGCTCGCTTGTCGTACAGTATCTTGAAAAACTCCACTAGTTTGTAAGGTCCTCAGGAGCAGGGTTGTGCCTTATTCAGCTTCATCACAGTGCCTAGGACAGTGCCTTACTCAGCAGGCATCCACCAAATGTCTTAAACTGATGACTGTCTTTTAAAGGTATCATATTTTATGTATGTAGTTTATTCAAAGAAGTGTGTTTCCTACTTCTGCATAGTTTATTATGCACGTTTAACATTCTTAATAAACAGCCTTTATATTCAAAATAAAAATTTGAAATAGATACTATATATAAAAAGTTAACTTGAACATAGAATTAAATGTATGTTTTCAAATACAGACGTACCTTGTTTTATTGCACTTCTCTTTATTGCGCTTCACAGATTATTGTATTTTTTACAAACTGAAAGTTTGTGGCAACCCTTCATCTAGCAAGTCTGTTGGAACCATTTTTCCGACAGCATGTGCTCATTTCACATCTTTATGTCACATTTTGATAATTCCTGCAATATTTCAGAATTTTTCATTATTTTTACATCTGTTACATTGATCTGTGATCAGTGATCTTTGATGTTACTATTGTGTTTTAGGACACCACAAGCCATGCCCATATAAGATGGCAAACTTATTCAACAAATGTGTGTGTTCTGACTGCTCCACTCACCCTCCACTTTGCCCATCTCCCTCCCTCTCCTCAGGCCTCTCTATTCCCTGAGACACAACAACATTGAAGTACACCAGTTAATAACTCTAAAATGGTCTCTAAGTGTTTAAGTGAAAGGAAGAGTCGCTCTTCACTCACTTTAAATCAAAGGCTAGAAATGATTAAGTTTAATGAGGAAGGCATGTCAAGAGCTGAGCTAGGCTGAAAGCTAGACCTGTTATGCCAAATGGTTAACCAAGTTGTGGATGCAAAGGAAAAGTTCTTGAAAAAAATTAAAAGTGCTACACTAGTGAACACACAAATGATAAGAAAGTGAAACAGTCTTACTGCTGATATAGAGAAAGTTTTAGTATGAGATTAATGTTGTTTCATGCCTACTAACACAACATCCATTCTGCAGGAGTAATTTTGACTTTCAGGTCTTATTATTTGAGAAATACATTTCATAAGGCTACAGCTGCCATATAGTGATTCCTCTGATGGATCTTGGCAAAGTCAATTGAAAACCTTCTGGAAAGGATTCACCATTCTAGATACCATTAGGAACACTCATGATTCATGGGAGGAGATCAAAATATCAACATTAACCGGAGTTTGGAAAATGTTAATTTCAACCCTCATGGACGACTTTGAGCAGTTCAAGACTTCAGTGAAGAAGTCATATGATGGAAACAGTAAGAGAATTAGAAGTGCAGCCTGAAGATGAGACTCAATTGCCACAATCTCATGGTAAAACTTGAATGAATGTTTCCTGCAGATCATATGGAGGCAGAACAGATAAAAGAAAAAATATATAAGAATTTTTAAAAACTTGAACAAATGAGGAGTTGCTTCTTATAGATGAGAAAAGAAAATGTTTTCTTGAGGTGGAATCTGCTCCTGGTAAAGATGTCATGAACATTGTTGAAATGACAACCAAGCATTCAGAATATTATATAAACTTAGTTGATAAAGCAGCAGCAGGGTTTGAGAGGATTAACTCCAATTTTGAAAGAAATTCTACTATAAGTAAAATGCTATCAAATGGCATCCCATGCTACAGAGAAATCTTTCATGAAAGGAAAAGTCAATCAATCAATCAATGCAGCAAACTTCATGGTTGTCTTGTTTGAAGAAATCGCCACAGCCATCCCAGCCTTCAGCAACCACCACCCTGGTCAGTCAGCAGCCACCAACATCAAGGCAAGACCCTCCACCGGCAAAAAAGACCATGACTCACTGCAAGTTCAGATGATCGTTAGCATTTTTTAGCAATAAAGTATTTTTTAGTTAAGGTATGTACATTTTTAGACATGTCTAAAAAATGCACATTTAGTAGACTACAGTATAGTGTAAACATAACTTTTGTGTGCACAAGGAAACCAAAATGTTTGTGTGACTGGCTTTATTGCAATATTTGCTTTATCGCGGTGGTCTGGAACCAAACCCGCGATATCTCTGACGTAAGCCTATAATGTATAAGTGCTGGGATAAATTAATGGGGCAGGCTTGCTATATTTTAAATATTGCTGTTTAAATTAATGATAACATACCAAGTACCCAGTCTCTAAACATTAGCACTAGTTGTGATATCCAGAGGAGATTTTTAAATGCTCTTCTACAGATGAAATGTGAAAGAGAAACGTAACTGTAAAGATGATATTATGAATACATCAAGAAACTCTGAATGGTCCTTTGTCCACGAACAGTGACCCACACAAAGCGTTGCTTCTCTGGTTTGTCCACTCACTCTGCACTGACCTCAGGGAGCAGGGAGCCTCCTTCAGACGTCTCGAGTGCTGCTTGAGAAGCTAACGTTCCTTCCTCACATGGAAAATTTGCAAGAGGCAGGTTCTTCACAGCTGCCACTTCTCATTCAGAAACGTCATGCTCACCATTATTCCCAGCCAAGGTACAAGGAGGTCTTTGGGCTCCAGAAGCTGCCAGTACAGGCGGTGAAGGTCACTAACAGAGGGCAGTGGGCACTAGTGGAAATGCCACCCAAACCCACGTCTCTGGTTTGCAAATGCAGTCTTTTGAGAAATTCTCCCCTGTCCTACACACCCAAACCCCTCGCCTCCCATGATTCTTGTCCTCAAAGGACCTCTGCTGAATGCTGTCTCCCGCCCTCCTCTCCTAGGCCACAGCAGCCAAGTAAAGAGCATTTTTGTCCCACAATTTGGACCCCAAGGAACCTATGATTTCAAATGTATTTACTAAAAAATACTAACGTTATATAGAAAATATATTCTATAAACATTTTTGTTCTTCTGGAGTAGACCCCATTAAGCCGATTTTACTCCATATTCGGTGTTCTATAGAGCACAAACTCTTTCTAAATTTTTCAGGATTTATTTTTGTACTTTACCAAATTATTTTCATTGGAATAAACTGTCTTCCTTCTGAATTCTATAGCAAAAATGCTATCGATCAGTTTTTGTACATAACAAGTTTTACCAAGCTTCCTTTTCCCACTGTGAATGTTCCATTGTGCTTCATTTCCCAGTCTGATTTTTCCGGATCAGTTTTTTCCAGATGTAAATTTTGGCAAGAATACTTTATTTCTCCATCAGTTTTAGTTATTTGTAAATTTTACAAGGTGCAATTTAGGTGACTATGGTTTCAGTTTGGGGGTTATTTCTATCAAGTCTTATTTTCTCTGACTCAAACTTTAGAGTCTTTAGTGTTTCTAATTAGATGTGATTTTTTTTTTTACACCTCCAAAATCATGGCTTGTTGAATGATGTGATTTTTTTTAAAAAAAAATCTGTAACATATTGCTGTGTGGTTTTAGTTACTTTCAGTTTTACTTTTGCTATTTCTAATATCTACAGACTCATTTTTCTCATTTATAAAATGGAAATGATCATAATAATAGTGCTCCTCTCACAGGGCTGCTGTGAATATTATGTGGGCTGATGTATACAAGCACTGAGCTCAGTGCCTAGCACGGAGCATGCACTTAATAAATTATTCAAGTTCAAATTCCTAGCACAAAAGGCCCTTCATGATCTGCCCTCCCCTCCCCCGCCAACCTCTCTAGACTCATCTCCCTTCTGACTCTGTTCCAGTGCCCTTCGTGTTATTTTATGACACTCTGCCTTCATGCAGACTGATTCTTTCACCTAGAATTCTCTCCCACCTTCCTCCGTCCCCCATTCCCACTCGGACCTCACTCCAGCTAATTCCTGTTTTTTCTTCAATGTACAACTCAACTCTCACTTCACTTACAAAGCCTTGTTGGTGCTCCTCTGCCTGACTTAATTGCCCCTTTGCTCTGTTCTCATTCTGGCCCATCTTGAGGACATTAATGTTGTCTTTTTCAGGGACTGAAATCTTATAAGTGTCCAATAAAGGTTAGTTGAATAGTTGAATGGTTATTTGAAAAGTTAGTTTGAGCATACTCAAACATCCTTCCCTACCGAAAGTCTTCACATTCCACCAACCCCCTGCCTTCTTTTTCCCCCCTGCTTTCCCAGTCACCTCCTGAGTGTGCTCCCCATGGCTCCCAGGTGAAACTCATCCATTCTACACTCTTTGGACTGTTACCATGTCCTAAAAATAGCAGGAGGGGAAAAAAAAACATCCTTTTAAGCCTACACCCCATAGGAAAAAAAAACAGGGAAATGTTCACACTCAACAATTTCCCTGTGTAACAGCTTTTGGTGGCTTTTCCTTACTCTTGTTATGAAATCTCAAAGCCTCACCAGGTCTGGACAAGTCCTCCGTGCTCTAGCCTCTGCCCATCCCTCCAGCCTTATTTCATGTCACTTGGCCCCTTGATCCCAACAATTTGGCCACACGGGTTTCTGCAGTCCTCAGATGCACCAAACTCCCTGCTACCTTGGGGTCTTTGCCCACGGTTTTACCCGCTTCTTGAAACCCTGCCCCACTTCATGTTCCCTTTAGCTGATGACACTTACTCTTAAATGAGACCCAAGCTAGCTGAGGCCACTCTGTTATACAAGCTCATTGACATCACCAGACTAGCACTTACCAAAACTGCAAACATAATGATTATGAAATTGGGGCAGGGGAAAGCTAATGTCTGTCTCTTCTATTAAATTGCAAAAGCTCCAAGATAGCAGGGGATGGCATTTGTCTTGTTCCTTATGGCATCCACAGCACAAAATATGTTTACCACATAGAAGGAACTCAATAAATTTTGCCAGATAAATAATAGGTTGATCTGATGAATGTAAAACCATCTGGAAAGGCTTCCTTAGAAGAGTGGATTGTCACTTCCCCCACAAGGGTGATCTTGAGATGACCGCTAAAGACCCTGAAAGATTCCACTGGGACAGGAATGGTGAACCGCATATAATCACTGCTACAATAGAAGGAGCAAGTGGGAAAGGGCTGTGGGGGACACTCTGAGCCTGAGAGCCCTGTGGAGATGACCAAGGCCATGGTTCTGGGAAAGTGTCTGAAAGGCCTGTGTTTGCAAACACCACAAAGACAGAGTCCAAAGGCGAGTAGCTGCGTAGGGGACTCCCAGAGCTTTTTAAATATCTCTATGCTTCCCACATACTGCCTTCAAGAGGCTTGTAATCTAGGTATAGAGACCTTCTTGGAATCCTCCACCACACCACATTAAAAATATAGTCCGGCCAGGCGCAGTGGCTCACGCCTGTAATCCTAGCACTCTGGGAGGCTGAGGGGGGTGGATTACTCGAGGCCAGGAGTTCGAAACCAGCCTGAGCAAGAGCGAGACCCCGTCTCTACTATAAATAGAAAGAAATTAATTGGCCAACTAACATATATAGAAAAAATTAGCTGGGCATGGTGGCACATGCCTGTAGTCCCAGCTACTCCGGAGGCTGAGGCAGCAGGATTGCTTGAGCCCAGGAGTCTGAGGTTGCTGTGAGCTAGGCTGACGCCACGGCACTCACTCTAGCCTGGGCAACAAAGTGAGACTCTGTCTCAAAAAAAAAAAAAAAAAAACAAAAAAAACCCCTAGTCCAGTGCCAAAATAGTAGTTCCCTAATACTTGTCAAATCAATGACTGGGGTGGGGGGTGGGCGTGGGGCGTAGCTCACTCAGAGAATTTGACCCAAGGCTGCCACACAGGGCTTCAAGGTTGCACAATAAATGACTCCCGGGGACTCCATTCACATAAACTGCAAAATGAATGGCACAGCCCAAAATTTTACATCCCATTAAATAAAAAAAACAGGATTGAAAGTTTCCCTATTTTTGCCAAGGAAAATAACAGGGACTTGATTAGTAAACAAAGTTAACCAAAAAACGGAGGTCTATAGATGAAGACTCTAGTATAATTTAGGGAAAAAATACAAAAGCCACAGGTGGACTAAATATTTTTAACAGAAAATTTCATTTGTAGAAAATGTATCTATGAAATAGAGAAACAACTGTCACTGTCTCAAGACAAAAGCAATCTCGAGGGCACGGAGAGAGGCCCCCGAGCAGGAGTCGTATTGCTCTGGGCGGACGGTGGGCCAGCGGAGGGATTCAAAGCTTAGGGATGTACATGCGGATAAGTTTATAGGTTTGATGGTCAGAGGCGAAGGTGTTTCCCTCTTACGGCTTCCATTTTCACTGTTAAGTGGGGATGAAACCAACTACAGCCATTGAAAGGGAAGTGGTAGGGCCACAGGTTTAACAAGAATGATAGTTTTGAAAGAACTACTGGAAAATAGAGAACTGATGAAGGAAAGAGATGAGCAGCTGGGAAATAATAAGAGTTGTAAAGACTAAATGAGACAATCTATATAAAGTGTATGGTACATAGTAGGCACTCAGTAAATGTTCATTTTCCTAGTGAAAGTAACCGTCTTGTTCGCATTTGTGTTCTCTATCATCGCACATATTGCATGTTCAATTTTTGTTGAATTGGTTCTTAATCTTCACACAGAGTAGGTGAGACACAGTTTTGTAGAAGTGGACTAAATCTCCTTTCTTTCTGCCGAACTTTGCTGTTTTGTCAGAGAGGTAGCTGTACAGTAAGAAAAGATGGTATGTCTTGATACCAAGAGAGCCTGGCTCCCCCGGCCAGGAAAAGGTGCTGTGACCTTTGCATGTCACTCCATCTGTCTATAAGCCTCGATTTCCCCACCTGTTAAACTGGGATATAATACTTGCCAAACTTACGAAAACTATACTATTAAGATAACCAACGTGAATGAAAGAGCTTTATAAACAGTGCAGCATACAATCTCAAAGGCTGGAAAAATTGATGTAATCATTTTAGGAAATAATTTTTCATGGTATCAAGAGCCATAAAAATGCTCACACCCATGACCTATGTGTCTCATTCCCAGAAATATAACCTACAACAGGGGTCTCCATCCTTTTTATATCATTCCACCCAGAATGTCCCCATGGACGGCCCATTCCAAGATTGTGGGATAAAACCTATTTAAGCTGTGGATCACGTACAATCCCCATCTCTTCACCACTCAATAAGACACATCACAGTGAAGGGAGTCTGGGAGTCATCTGAATTAAGTAAATGATTCACCAAAGGCAGCATTTCACTTATTAACGAATTGGTTGGGAGTTCCACAACCCATCAAGACAAAGAATGTCTTGACATTCAAGTTGAGAACTGCTGTCTTTATGAAATAACTCAAAGGAATGAGAAAATGCATGCAAATATAAGCTGGGCTGATAGGCAGTAATGACAGTAATAATATCAGCTCTTTCATATCCATTCTCTCAATGCACCCTCATGAAAAGCTTATGAGGTAGACAGGAGGGATTTATACCTTCTGGTCTCCAGCCGTGGAGCCACGGCTTTATATCCATTCAAAATAAGTGGAGAGCCAGCTGGCCATGATGGATAGAGCACTACTTGGGGGGGGGGCAGGGCAGGGGGGGTTGCATTAGACCTGAACTGCTAACATCATCTGGCTGTGACTCTTCGGCCATATCACTTCAACTCCCTGAGTCTCCTTTTATTCAAACTGCTTCCAAAGTTGCTGAGTGGTTCAAATAGGGCACTGAATATGAATACACTTTGAGATGTAAACACTATACAAGGATGAGGTGTCTGTTACAGCTTTCTGGCTCTGTTCCCAAGCCAGGACCAATCCAGTGATAATATTCCAGGTCCCAAAACTGGCCTTCCCATTACCCACTCCTATTAGCAACACTCTAGGTCCTACCTAGGATTTCTAGTCAGTCTTCATATTGGCACACCCAAGGCAAGGAGAAAAGATGGCCATAAGAAGGCAAAATAAATATTTATTGGAAATCAAAAAAGCATTCTTTTCATCGCATTAAAATATTCTTACTCTTTTTATGTTTTCTTTCTTGAACATAGGGTTTCACACACACACAACACTAAGAAGTATGTAATTTAGAATTTACAAGGATCAGGCACATTCAATGAGCATGGGGTGACAATTCTGTGTTTGGAACCAAGATCACAGTTAAAAAAAAAAACAAAAACATGTAAATCAATGCAGAAATCAAGTATGGTTTACAGGCCTGGATGACGGATGGCCCATCTACCTGGGCCCCACCCAGAGCAGAAGGACACAGTCCACCAGGCCTTGAGGGAGAAAAGGAATGTCAATAATACTGAGCTCTCTCAGGCAGGAGCCGTCTGAGAGCTTAATGACTTCACAGTACAACCTCGAACACCTTCTCCCACTTCCCAGGGAGAAAGGCAAGCACCCTTTTTATTCCAAACACATAAATCACATAATGTTTAGAATAATGAGTTCTCCCTGAGGAAAAGTTTAGCTAAAAGAGCATTTGCAGCCAAAGCCACTATCTGAGCATGAGAGATCTCATCCCTAGAAAATGCCTTCCCCTTAAATCACTGAAATGTAAATCATGGAGTTTTAAGATGTCCTGACAGGCCCATGGGTTTAGTGGTGTGTGTGTGTGTCTGTGTTTGTGTGTGTGTGTGTGTCTGTATGTGTGTGTGTGTGTGTGTGTGTGGTTTTGTGCATACCTACATGCACATTTGAATTTTAAACCCATCAGAAGGATCACAGGGACAATGTTGGCTGTCAGATGAGTCATCTGAGCAAAACGTCCTACCCCTTGACCTGTGCCAACCACACAGATAGACTCAAATTTACTGAAGAACTGTGCTTAAAAACAAATAATGGTGCAGGAGGATATCTGTGGTCCAAGAATCAGGACACTCCAGCTTCAGCAGCTCTGCTATGACTTCCTGGGTGACTTTGAAGCTGTACACAGTCCTCTCAGAGCACTAGTTTCCAGGTGTAAAGTGAAGAAAGTGGTCCTTTTGATTCTGATGCTTTTTGACTCGTTGCCTCCGTTTGCCTTGGTGAACCTACCTAGGCTCAGACCTTCTGAGCCGAAAGCCTTTTGGGGATGCCGCTGTTGGGAAGAATAACCGGGACAGACAATGTTCTTGCCAACAATTCCATCCAGATCCACAGAGAGCAGCTCTCCATATCGTGTGAGAAGGCAAAGATCCCGTCATTGATTTCTATTTGCCCAACCACCCAGCTCTTTTCCAAGCGAGAAATGGAGAGCCGTATGGCTCTATGCATTCATATCCAAGTCAAAGCAATTCTGTAATTCCCAGCTCTGTAGTACAGAGTGTGGCACCACGGATCCAAATGGTTGCCCCTCAAACCAGGACATCTGCTCAGGGTAAATTTGAGTAGGAAACTCCAGATAGGGAATGCTGAATTGTAGACTCTCCAAGCTAAAGGGGACCTTGAAGTTCATCCAGGTACCATCTTCAACAACAGCCTTCATAAGTGCTAGACCAGCTTCTGCTTAAACATCTCCATTATAAGGAGCAGCTGCTGAACTGAATTGAGCCAAAATCCTTCTTAAGTTCTTTAACGAGGTCTCCCCATCTGGAACACATCTGCTCCTTCTGCCCTCACAAGAATCCCCCTCAAATCTTGCTCCAGAGACACAAGCCTGGCCCCTCGCCCCTCAGAGCTTGGTCTGACCCCGATGGCTCAGAGCAGGTGTGGACTTGCTGGGTCAGCAGGTGCATGGGGGCCATTGCAGATTGCAAAGTCCCCCACGCTGCATCTTCTGCCCAGCCCCCCTCTCCCAAGCCAGGCCCATCACAGGCCAAGCCTCTGCACCCCCAAGCCAGGCTGGAACACGGAGCACCCCAGAGCGGAGAGATGGGCCCAGAGAGAACTTCCAGGCCTGGGCTCCTCCGTTTGCCTCAAGTCAGGTTAACCAGCCAATCACCAAGTCATCTAAAGACCAAATTCCTATTTGCACCATTCCAAATCAAAGTCCATGGTTACCATTTTGATAATTCTTCCTCAAAAATTCCCACCTGAGTCCTTTCACCGGATAACATACGCAGAGTAGATTTTCTGGTCGTGTAGGCCCCGGTCACCTGGAAAATTCCTTCCATCCCCACTTTACCTTTGCCCCCAAACTTGACTCTGTGTCATTTTGGGACAAGAGCAGCATCAGAGGATGAGGACCTAAAAATAAGCCCCGAGTCTTGGCAAACGCTCCTCTCTCACAAGCTTCCTCCTCAGCTCCAAGATTCACAGTTAACAAAAATGCTTCGTGCCAAGACACTGCCGCCACTTCGTTCCATTTCCCCTCCTCCGAGGAATGCTGAGGTATTCTAGCAACCTCTGAGACGCGAGGCCGTGTGGGTAGAGCGGCTGCTATTTCTGCTTCAGCTGAGGCCTTGCTGCTCCCAGCTCAGAGGCGTGAACCCCTGGGCGGCCAGGACGAGGACACGAGCCAAGCCCTTTCACCCAGATCGCAGCGGCCCAGCAGGGCCTGCCTGGCGTGGCTCCTGTGGACTTTTGTGTGTGTGAAGAAAAGCTTTTTGTCTCGCTCTGGCCACCCTGAGGCCAAGTACACGGCCAGCCCAAAAGCCCAGCATCTATGTCTCAGCTTTTAAAATCACATACTTCATCTGTAGTCACTGTCATTCTTAATTGAAATGTGTTTTCTATGTTGAAAACTAAAACCCTGTGTTCGTTAATACTACTAAAACATCTCTTGACAGTTTGAGCCTTGGGGTGCCGAGGGCTCTCATCGCAAGGATGGTTTCCTGTTCCTGGCAGGTTCCAGAAGGGCATTTCCGTGGCTCCCTCCCCTCCTCCCCCAGGACGTCAGGCTTAGCTCAGTCCCCTGCTCATTCTCGGGTGGGATCAAGAGTCTCCCACAAACCCAGGCAACCCAGTCTCAGTAAGAGAGATGGCGGAATGTGCGGGCTGGGGTCAGGGGTGGCGGGGAGATGCTGGCAGGAGGAAAGACTCCCCCCTGCTCCTCAGGCCCCTGCCCCCTCTTCCCCACCACCCATCTCTCCCAGCCAAGCCGACTGGCAGCTGCTAAAACCAGAGACTTCACCCAGGACCTTGGGAGACTTCCAGGCTCCAAGACTGCTGGCCTTGGGTTTACACAAACTCTTTGACGAATAACAAGATCCTAGAGTGCCTGCCACTCAGACAAACGGACAGCTGCCTCTCAGTTCAGACACCCTCAGCTCAGCATGAGGGTGCTTTCTGCTTCGAGGCTGGCAGAGCCACTCCACAAAGCCCCTCAGCACAGAGGCCAGGACTCAGCCCGCAGCGCCAGACAGCCCATGCTCACGCCAGCCCTGGCTTCTGCTGCTACACTGAAGTTTCCGGGAATTCATCCATTTCTTCAAATGCATTGAGAGTGGTTTTGCTGTTGCTCCTGGAAGAATCTTGGATTTTGTTGAAATCTGCTTGGGAAAAAAAAAAATCTATTTTAGAAATATATCACTCTGCATTCTGCGTTTCCATGTTTTAGGGTACCACCTAATTTTTTAAAAGTTGTTCTAACTAGAGTTATAAAATGTCAGAGCCAACTTCATTCAACCCTCCCATTTCATGGATGGGGAAAGTCAGGGCCCTCAGACTTGATTAGCCCAAGGTCCACAGCCTCAGACAGGAGCGGACCCCATGCCACCCATGGCAACAGTACCTGTCCGTCTTACAGGCCCGGGATCTTCATTAAGGAAGGAGACGTGTGTCTTCCATTCAGTCCACTTCACCTCGTTGATCCTGCAAGTGTGGTCGTCGTTCTTACTATTTCACAATTGCACCTCACTAAATGCAGACAGACAGCACCACGTACGGGATGTCTGGTCTCTTGAGACAGCCCCCCTTTGTCCCAGGGATCAGGAGTGCCCCTGCCCCGAGTGGTCACACCAGCACTGTTGGGGTTTGAATCCTGTCCAAATCTCCATTCCCTTAGGCCTCAGGGGATCCATTCTCCTCCCAGGGTAGGGAACCCAGACATCCTGGAAGTCACTCAAACAGGTGTAAAGGTACATCTTCAGACAGCAGCAGCTGTGCCTGACTGGTCGGAAGGAGCCCACGGGGAAGGAGGGAAGGAGGGAAAGAGGAAAGGTGTGGGCTGAGAAGGTGTGAGGGTCAAACCTGAGGAAGTTTAGCAAGGGTTAAGCAAACACTAGGGGAAGGTAGTTAGGGTTCACACCCTAATAAGAGCGGGCAGCATCTAAGGTGTCGGAATATAACTTAGGAGAGGTCAGTTAGACTTAAATTCACATTCAGAGAACATCTCTAGAATGAGGGTGTCGAAACCAGAAATGTTTGTTAGGGTAACAATGACAGTCAGAAATGTTGATTTCCAAGGCCAGGTCAGTGGCTCATGCCTGTAATCTTAGCACTGCAGGAGGCTTGAGGCAGGAGTTGGGGACCAGCCTGAGCAAGAGCGAGACCCTGTCTCTACTAAAAATAGAAAGAAATTAGCTGGACAACTAAAAAAACATATGTATAGATAGAAAAAAAATTAGCTGAGCATGCCTACTCGAGTAGGATCGCTTGAGCCCAGGAGTTTGAGGTTACTGTGAGCTAGGCTGATCCCACTGCACTCTAGCCCAGGCAACAAGAGTGAGACTCTGTCTCAAAAAAAAAAAAAAAGAAAAGAAAAGAAATGTTGGTTTCCAGCGGGTTGGAATTTCAGTCAGAGAAGTAGGTTGAGGTACAGTTATACTGGAAAACGTTGGTCTATAGCAGGCGTCCTCAAACTACGGCCCGCGGGCCACATGCAGGTGTTTTTGCCGGTTTGTTTTTTTACTTCAAAATAAGACGTGTGCAGTGTGCATAGGAATTTGTTCATAGTTTTTTTTAAACTATAGTCCAGCCCTCCAACGGTCTAAGGAACAGTGAACTGGCCCCCCTGTTTAAAAAGTTGGAGGACCCCTGGTGTAGGGTCAGGCAGTTGAGTAGGGGCGGGTAGGAAGAAGTGGACTTATCAGAAAAGGTGGCCATGGGATGCACGAGGACCTTTTAAAAACTCAGAAAGCGTAAGGTATGTCAAAAGTGGCCAGTGACAAAGTGTGCCTGTCGTCCCCTGGTATCACATGGACCCACACAGGGCAGACAGCAGCAGGACAGAGGGAGTGCCAGGTTGGTAAATCTTTTCTAAACAAGACGCTGGACAGGCCTCCAGAGGGGACGCTGGCCGTGGTGACAGCGAGCCAGCGGCGATACTGCTTCTCTAACACCTTGTCACTGGCTCGTCCCTCTCCGCCCACCCCAAAGACCCCCACCCGGGCCCTCCCCTTTCCTTACCGCAAGCACAGCCGGAAATCCCCCTCGGCGACTCTGCATAGCTCCCCCATCCTGAACCTGCTCCTCAGCCACTCTGGCAACATCTTCTCAAACTCCAAGATTGTCCTGGCTCTCTGGGGACACAAAGGAGCCTCAGGAGTGTGCGGGCACGCGCACAGCCAGACGCACAGCCCCCCACCCCCTCTGGGTGCTCAGCGCACAGATGCTAGCCGGGGGTCCAGCTAGCCCACAGAATCCAGAGACGAGAAAGCAGGAGGGTTGGTAAAGGTGTTCAAATTGGTTTAAGCGTGACATAGATAGCATTTCTGAAGGCCAGGAGCTTCCTCACTGAGCGCGTTAGCACGTTGGAATCTCACAGTGGAGGGAACGTCTGACCTCATGTGGTCCCACCGCCCCCCGCCCAGGCTTGGAAGGAATCCTGGCCATCGTTTCTCCAATCTCTCCAGAGCAGTATCAGCGATCCGATTAAGAAGGCCTTAATAATTAGAAACATCTGTGCGCCAAACCAAAGCTTTTCTCCCTGTGGTTCCCCATGTCCCTCAGTTCTGCCTTCTAGGGCCATAGAAGGGGACTGCTGCCTCTTTCACAGGTAGCTCTGCAGATATCTGAAGGAACTCTCACCTTCTTCAACCCTAGACCCGACAACCATTTCTTGTGAGACAGTCTCCAGTCCTCTCCCAAACCTGGTCACCACCTCTGGACCCATCCTGAGGCTTGGTGTCCTCGGCATGTGAAGAGTATTTAAGGCCAGGAGGGAGTAGAACAGAACTGTCACCTCCGTTGTCCTAGACCCCTATATGCTCCTCGTAATGCAATCTAAGGTCATACTTTGACGCACACATATCACGCTATTGACTCTGAGCAGAGCACCCCCGTAAGCCTGAGATTCTCTCCCATGTGCTGTTGTTCAGCCACACTTCCTAGACCCTGTACTCAAAGGTCCTGGACTAAAGGCTCCCTCAAACCTGGCCCATCACACGGGAGCTTATGCAGATTCCTAGGCCCCGCCCCAGACCGTGCGCTCCACTGAGTCCCCGCGGAGCCCCGCCCCCCCCACACATGGGGGTCCCTGCCCCCCGGGCTCACCTGTAGGCGCCAGATTCGCTCGCTCTCCTTGGAGACGTTCTCCACCGTCTCTCCCATGAGGGCAATGAGCATGTTGAGCAGGAGGACGAAGGTGAGGATGACATAGGTGATGAGCAGGAACAGAAAGAGGATGGGGTACTTGGAGTTCTGCTGGATGTTCAGGTCGCCCAGGCCTATGGTGAGCTTGAAGAGTTCCAGCACCGCCTCACTGAAGCTGCCGTAGGAGCTGCAGTCCTTTTTGTCGCTGGGACACTTCTCGATCAGCGAGGCCAGGGCTGGGAGGACATAACAGGGTGCTCCATTCAGCCTCTCTGCCTGGGCGGTTACCCGGTAAGCTCAGTATGTTTGCACACGCGCACGCGCCCACCCTGCCTGCCCAGGGCTGCCGCCTCCTCCTCTCTGGCCAGGGAGATCCCATCGCCAGCCTCATCGGGCTGATTTCTCTGCCCTGACCTCCTGCAGAATACCCTTCCCACCCCAACGAAGCTCGTGCTCTTCTCTCCCTCTGCCCAGCTTGGCCCTTGATCACTTGCAGCCTTGCAGAGTTGCTAATTCCAATCTATGCGTGTGTCCCTGGCTCCCCAACTAGTTTTTGAGCCCCTGACTTGCTATAGCCTGGGTCGCTAAAGGACCCTATAGCTGTAAGATCCCAAGTCTCCTCTTAATGCTCTGTTGTGAGTCCCCCAGGAGCATGACCAGGGCTCACTCTTCTCTTTTTTCCAACACACCACAAGTCGTGGCTCACTGCGGCATGGATGGATGGATGATGATGATGGGTGGGGATGGATGGATGGGCAATTTAATGAGTGATTAAATGGGTGGATGAATAAACAAGCAGGTGGAGGAGCTAATAAATAAGCAAATTTTGACCCAGAAAAGGTACCAGACAGATGGGAACTCAGCTGCCTAATTTCAAATGCCAATAATCACTGAAAAGAAGGAAAAAAAAAATATGTTACGGGGGGAAAACCCTATATCTTTCTATGCAGAGGTTAGAAATAAAGCCATGTTGTGCCAGCCTCTCTGTTTTAAATAGAGAGATGTTAAGAGGGGGGTCCCCCTTCCGGGCCCCAACAGACCAGAGGCTCTCGCAGATACATCTGAAGCAAACCGTGAGAGCAACATGGTGTGAAAACCAAAGGAAGTAACCTCAGTGCATAACTTGGCTCCTATTTTTGCAAAGACCATCAATCAAATTTCTGTGAACTTTAGTTTCCCTGTCTGTAAAATGGGACTGAAAACACCTGCAGAGCCTATCTTAGGCTGTGAGGGCTGTATGAGATGACTGACGGATGGGAAACTGGGCAGCATGTCATACAATGCGGCTGGATAAGAGAGACCAGCCTGGTTTGCTTCCTGGAGTCTCGAAGCTTCAGTTCCCTTGTGCTCAGGGATGGTGGTTCCCACTTGATCGAGTTATTGGGAGAAGTGAAAAAATAAGGCATGGAAAATGCTAAGCATGACGAGCGCCCCACTGGTAGCTGATGCAATTGTCGCTGATACTGCCATGTGCTTTGTCATTGTGACATCTGTATAAAGTGCTTTACAGAGTTGCTTTACAAAGTTATAAAGTGCTTTACAAAGAGCTACTATTATTTATAAGTCAATTACCTACTCCAAATCCAAGTAAGAACACGATATATACAAACAAGAACTTCAGAACATCGTGCAAAATGACCTGCAAAGAAAGAAACGTGATTTCAAGTGTAAAGTTGGAGCATGTGCTCACCGCACACCAATCTCCATTCTTCCCACCCTCTCCCTGGCCAGCTCCTCAGGCTGCTCCAAGGCTCGGCTCTGGACCCAGCCTCCAGCCCCAGGCTCTCTCCTCCCTCCACCTTCCAGAGCACAGTCTCTCTGCCCCTGCTGATCCAGCCTGAACCTTTCTCCACAGGGTCTCCCTTCTGGACCCCTCACACTTCCTGGGGACAGGGGTGTGCTAGAGTCTACTCATACCAGCTCGCTCCAGAGCTGACTGTTAAGTTTTCATGAAGTTTGTGAGCTGGCTGTTAAAGACAGTCATTATCAAGAACTAAATCAAACTTTCAGTTGTAAGATGAGTAAGTTCTGGGGATCCAATGTACAGCATGAGGACAATAGAGAACAATATATACTGTATTGTATACTTGGAATTTGCTAAAAGTATAGACCTTAAATGCTCTCACGACACACAAAGAAAGAGTAACCATGTGAGGTCATGGATGTGTTAACTAGCTTGAAATGGGCAATCAATTCACAATATATATGTACATCAAATCCTCACATTGTATACCTTAAATTTAGACTGTTTTACTTGTCAATTATACCTCAATAAAGCTGGAGGGGAAACAAATTATTTGTATTGCAAAAAAATTAAACCATATATACGTATTAAACAAATTATATGTAAAACAAAGATAATGTTCAAAACTCATCCCTTCCTAGTTATTTTACTACATTTTACAATAATCTATGCTTTTGAGGTTATTTACATCTATGGTAGCCATATAGTGGAAATACTGTGTGATTATATTATAACTGTGCATTATAACTGTGCATTCTTCCCAACACCAAGTTCAGTGACATAATGTTGGTAGCTGGAAATCAGCCATGCAGAAGTACAGTAGTCCTCCCTTGTCTGTGGTTAAACTTGCTGCAGTTTCAGTTTATGCAATGTCAATGGCGGTCTAGAAATGTGATATTTTGAGAGACAGAGCACATTCACATAACTTTTATTACAGTATGCTGTTATAATTGTTCGATTTTATTATTAGTCATTTTGGTTAATCTCTTACTATGCCTAATTTATAAATTAAACTTTATAAGTAGGTATGTTTGTATAGGAGAAAACATAGTGTATTATATAGGGTTCAGTACTACCCACAGTTTCAGACCTCCAGTGGGGGTCTTGGAACATATCTCTGAGACTAAGGAGGATTCTACTGTATTTACACCATGAAGATTGGTAAATGCTACAAATCAGAGATCAATTGACTCATTGTTTTGTTGCTGTCTAGATCCAGATTTAAGATAGCGATGGAGACAATGTTAATCTATATTAAACTTAAAAATGTGTCTTATCTGTAGCCTTTGCATTGTCAACAGCACACAAATATCACAGGCATATTCTTCTAGTACTTGCAAATTATTATCCAATTCAGCAAAGAAGTTGCTCACATCACTGACAAACAAGCAAAGTTCCAACATAAATCATTGTCTCATTTTAATCATACTGCTTATAACAATGAACATTGGTGTTTGAACAGCACCCATTTGTCAATTGCAAGCATAGGTTGGCAACGGATTTGCTGAGTTCTACAGAAAACAACAAATTATCTGAGACTCAACTGGCTACATGGAACATACAATAAAGTGTATTGTATTTTATTATTATTTGTAAATTGTGTGCTATACATCCTTTATGCAGTAAAATTTATAGTAAAGGTATGTATATATGTGTGTGTGCATATACATACAAATACATATATTCCACCCACACGCACACCTAGAGAGTGGTTGTTAAAGATCTACTAGAACACCATGGCCCAAGGGGGAGAATATTCCTTCACAAAATGAGTCCCTTCCCAGTGCCCCACAAGCCTGGGCGTTTAAAGCTCTGATCATTTAAAGCCCGACCAAAAGCAAAGGAGACCACGGCATTCGGGGGAAAGAGCAGGGGCCTGCCCCTTGGTAAGCCCCTGTCCCCCTCCAGACCTCAGTTTCCCCATCTGAAAGCCAGACGTCCTCCGAGAGTCCGTCAGCCCCCAACGCACCTTCTGGATCATGACGCTGTACATGCCCATGGACTGGAACCCCCGCGTGTAGTACAGCATGTTCGCCCAGCCCAGGGCCATGGCCAGCACGAGGCAGGCAAGGTACTCTTTGTAGGCAAACAAGTACAAGAAGACAGACAGTATCACAAGCACAGCCTGGAAAAAACTGTTCAGGAGACACAGGAGACAAGGGCCTTACTTACTTTTCCTCAGCATCAGGGCAGAGATATTCAAATCCTACAAACCTCCCTCAAGCCCCCTGAAAGGTCCTCCTGGGGGCTGAGGCTGCCTGGGATCCACTCAGCCACAGCTGAAACCCAGCCTCATGGACTACACCGCCAGGTGCCAGTCGGGGCCAGTCGTGGGCTGGTTGCAGCTAACAGAGACTGTCTTAAAAAAGATTCAGATCCACAGGGCTCCAGAAGATTCTGGAGTGCAGCCCAGGAGGCCATACATTTTTTAAGTCACTCACATGATTTCTGATTCCCACATAGATTTGGGAACCACTAGGCTAGACCCAGGATGTAGGGAAAGATTGCATTTTTAACCAAAATGACAAAAGCTGCCAACATCTGTATTTATAAGCCAATCATAACAGAAGTTCCCCCAAACCTACTATTTTTTATCTTTTTTAAAAAACGTGTGATATATGCTAAGTGAAATAAAAGCCAATCCCAGAAAGACAAATACCATATGATTCTACTTATACAAGGTACCTAGAATAGTCAAATCCATAGAGATAGAAAGAAAAATGGTGGCTACCAGGGAGGGGAAAAGAGAATAGAAGCTGTTGTTTAATGAGTACAGAGTTTCACTTTTATAAGACGAAACAAGTTCTAAAGATTGAGTGCACAACAGCACAAATGTACTTAACAGTATTGAGCTGTACATTTAAAAATGGTTAAGATGGTTAGATTCTGGTTACTAGCACTTTATTGGAAAAAAAAGAAGAAAAGAAAATAATAAAGAAAAGAAATTTAAATAATAATTTAAAAAAATAAAAATAAAAAAATGGTTAAGATGGTAACTTTCATGTGATGTGTGTTTTACCACAATTAAAATTTTTAAAGTACAATATATACCAAACAATACAAAATTGAAATCTACTCCTACACAGTGCAAACACCATGAGTTATGCAGACATCTGGTTTAAAACCCCTCTCTTGCTTATTTATAACACCAGGCAGTTTCCACGATCATAAAATATCTGACCAATGTTAAGACACAGGCAGGTTTGTTTTCCTGGCATAGTTAAGAACAAACATCCGACTGATGGATCGACTGCATTTGGGGTTGAAATGAGGAAGGATGTCTGCACCTTCCTCTACACTAACAAAACAAATGAGAAGTGGAAGAGCAGGACAGTATCCAGGTACTTTTTGTTTGCACTAAGACCAGTGCCTGTACAAACAGTTTTCTCTGGAATCGTGATACTTCCTCGGAGATGACAGGCCCGCATGTGGCTTGCATCATGGGGCAGTGTTGTACCTACCTAACTATCCATTTCCTGCAGTATCTGGGTGCCCTGCCTGCTCACAGGGATGGAGAACTTAGTTCATGCCTCTGGAAGGCAGGTACACACTTAATAAAACACCCAGGTATTTAGAAACATCAGGCCAAGGTTTGAGGTCCCACAGTTCCAGCTTCCCAAATGCTCAGAAGAGAGCCTTCAGTGGGGTCGGCAAAGCCGGGGAGCCCAGCATTCTTCAGAGCAGGGAAGTGAGTCATTCACAGTCCTGTGGAGGAGCCTCAGCAGTGTCAAAGCTCCAGCCTGCCAGTAATCTGGGGAGCCCAGAGACTTCAGTGCAGTCTGCAGAGCTGGGGAGCCCAGCATTCTTTCCCCCAAACTGCAGATCCTGTTCCATGCCCACGGCAATGGAACAATAACAGCAATGCTAACTCGCTAAATCAACCTCTGTTCATTTGGAGACAGAGGTCACGTACGCCTTTGATGTCAGCTGCATATGACCTCATTCAGAGAGGCTGCTGAGCTGGGCGTTCTGGCTGGGGCCCTGTGGTCACCAACCTTGCACTGGCTTGGGGTGAAGATTGCTGGCAGGCTGGAGCTTTGACACTGCCGAAGCTCCTCCGCACAACTGTGAATGACTCACTTCCCTGCTCTGGGAGATTCCATGGTGTCTACAGATGAGACTCGGTGATTTCTCAGGCCCCTTCCAGTCCTGATCTGCCAAGGTCCAAGATGGCAACTTCTAGGCCCCGTTCAACTAGGATGGACTGCCCAGGACAATTCTTTGTAAGAAAGTACACAGGATGGCTAAGGCTTTTCATGCTTTCTCTGTGCTGCCTGCCGCCTGGGGCCTCTGTGACCAATGATGGCAGCCATCACTGCCACCAGATGGTAGGCACTGTCCTGAGGTTTTCTGACCCTCTCCTGGCCATCTGTCTGCCCCTTACTGGAAGGGAGAGAGAGATCCCTGGCCACGTAACTAAGGTAGAATGACTGGGACAGGGTGACATGGTAGGGTGGCTCTTCCAAAGGGACACCGCAGCCACATATAGGACTCAGCCCTGCCTGCGAGGTAGTGACCAAAGGGATAGGGGGTGACCTACTTACAAGACAAAGTGGAACCAGGCATCTGAGAGGATGGACTGCAGATCCGAGGGTCTCAGCAGGAAGATTGCAATGCCCTAAGGCCAGAAAGGAAAGACAAACTGCACCTTCCGCCTGCCCCTCGCTGGAGAACCTGACAAGGGGGCGCTTCCCCAGGACTGAGACTCAGGGAGGGGTGACTGTGTGAAGGCCCAGCCAGAGCCAGGTGAGGGATGTGGAAGGAGACCTGTGCCTGGGGGTGTAGGTGCCCCCACGCCATCCTCAGCCCAGAACCTGCAAAGCAGCACACTCACTGCAGCTACCTGCCGCTCCCCACGGACAGCCCAGCCTTCCAACCTCGGAGCCTTTGCTCATGCTCTTCCCCACGCCTTGTCTGCAATGACCTTGTCCCCAACGTCCTTATGTCCAATCCTACCCTACCAGTGCTATCTCTGCCTCCAAGCCTTCCCTGTCTCCCCCTGTCCCCAGATAAAAGTCATTTCTCTGCCTCAGAGTACTGGTCTGAACCCAACTCAGGGCCATTTTCAAAGCCTACCTTAAAGTCTAGATGTTTGTGCCCACATTCAATCCCCTAGCAGATTGTGGGCTCAAAGAGGGCAAACTCCCTCCATCCCTAACACCTCCCCCAGGTCCCCACACATGAAAGGTGTTCAGAATATATCTGATTCACCAGATGGGTGCATAGATGGATAGATGGATGGATGGATAGAGAGATAGTTGGATAAAGGATGGAAGGATGGTGGGTATGGATGAGTGGGTATGTGAATGAGTGGCTAGACCAATGAGAGAGGGCAGGTGACTGGACGGGAGGATGGGGGTGGGAGAGGAGGATGGGCCCTGAGTGGCTGGTAGGGTAGATAAATGGTGGACAGTTGGACAGATGGATGGAAGGGTAGACAGATGGAGCAGGTAAACTAGACCTGCCTTCTTCATTCATTTCCATGTTAGAAACCTAAGGCTTAGAGAGGAAATGGCTCCCCAAGGGTCCCCGGCAGTGATGGCAGAACAGGGAGGGATGGGCGCCAGGCCTGCTCACACCTGCCCTTTGCACCTGCCCACCTGGCAGGGCAGCCTGGGAGGGCTGAGGGGCTCACTCACCTCTTTCACAGAGATGCACATGGCCCAGATGAGCACGAACATCCTCCCCAAGAGCTGCAGCCACCCCATCTTGTGCGTCAGGGCCAAGGGATGTGGGAGGGCCTGGGTAGGGAGGGAGTGGGGTGGTCAGGAGAGGGGTGAGGAGGGCGGGGCTGGCTGTGCATGATGACCCGTCAAGTGTACCAGCATGGGACCTGCCCTCTGTCCAAGGCAAGAAGAGGAACGGCAGCTCCCTGACCTGCCTTCCCCACCCTCGGTGGAAACCCAGAACTCCACAGCAAGTATAGCCCAATCTGTGCTAACAACCCCTCACGCCCCATCGCATTTGTCCTTCCCAGAACCCATCCATATCTAGAGACCCAACAGGGCCTCATAACATAGTTAAATAAAACCGAGACTCTGTGCCCCATGTGATGGATGGGAAACTGAGGCCCAGCATGGTGGGAAAGCTTGTCCTCCTCCCACTTCCTGTGGCAGAAACACCCAACTAGTTCTAGGTTTAGACAGAGAGCCTGGCAGGGCCTGGGGCTCCTAATTCTCTAACTCCCTCCCCTAACATGGGTCTACCTCGGGCTCAGCACCTGTGGCTTAGCCCAACTGACCGCCAAAGACACATTCAGTTCCCTAGAAACTGCAAAGGACAATCAGGGGACCCCATCAAATCTCTTGGCCTCTCTAGGCCTCAGTTTCCCCATCTGCACATGAGGTGGCTCCAAGCCCCTCCAGCTCTGGCCCACGTACCTCCTCCTCCCGGGGGCGGTAGTACGAGATGAGAGTCAGGGTGATGTTGTAGAAGAAGTAAAAGCAGAAGGACAGGAAGAACATGTACTTGGCAAACTTCTTCCACTTCATGTGCAGCAGCGTGTGCAGGGGCTCCAGGGTCAGCATCTCGTGCCGGTTCTGGGGGAAGCACACACCAGTCACCATGGAGACGAGGGCGAGTGGGAGGGACCATTTTCAAAGGGCCCGGCGAGCTGAGTCAGCGCAGCCCCTGGACTGGTTTGGCTGGAAATGCAGGAGGGTAATTTCCAGCTCCCTAGGCTCCTCCCCGTGCCCCAGGACAGCAGTCGAGTGCCACAGGAGCTGGGCTGCCAGCAGTAGGGTCTGAGGCACAGCTTAGAGTGAGGCTAGAAGGGGCCAGCAGAGGTGACAGGGGTTGCAGCCCAATTTGCCCCCCTTCACTATGTGGCCATAGGACAGCCCCAACCCTCTCTGGCCTCAGTCTCCTCATCTGTAAAATTGCTACCAGTCCCTGCCCCGCCAACCAGGCTGCTCTGAGGGTCCGGGAGACCCCAGACAAGGCAGGCTCTGGGAAGCTGATTCTTGCTAAAATATGAAGGAGGAAGACCCTGCCTGCCTGCTGCCTCACTTCCGCCCCAGAGCTGAACACCTCTTGCGGCCGGCCCTCATCCTCTCCTCCAGCTACACCGACCTCCCATTCGACTCCCCTCCAGGAAGTCCCCTGATTGCTCCAGCTGTGCACACCCTCACCCTCATTTGGGACCAGGATTGAGGGAAGAGACGGTCCCAAGCCTGGATATATACACCCGAGGGGGAAGTGGGAGAGAGACGAGATGAGGGAAGTTCAATACCAACCATGTCCTTACCCACACCCACACCCAAACTGCCCAGGCTTCTGGGGTGGGAGACCCCCCCCCAGTGGGGTCTATAATCTGAAGTTGACCGGGAACAGCTGGGCACAGTCTCAGGCCCCACCGTCTCTGTGCCCAACTCTGCCCACTACGGCAAAGGATTGGGGGACATGAGCACAGGGGGCTCCCCAGGGCCCTCTGAGCCCCGGCCTGAGGTCCAGCCCTCCACTCCCAGCCCTTCCCAGCCCAACTCCGAGACCCACATCGATGTTGGTGTTGTAGACAATGATTTCCAGCACCGAGTTGTCCGTCATGGTGTCCACGTTGGTGAGGTCGTAGAGCGAGGAGGACACGGGCCCGTACGCCCAGTCGGTGAACTTCCGGGACAGGCTCCGGAGCGGCTTCTCCTTGATCTCACGGCTCAGGATGTACTTCAGGATCTGGGGACGGGACAAGGAACAACTATTCAGCCGCAGGGCAGGGCTTGGGGCCAACAGGGCTGGGCCAGCCAGAGGCAGGCTGGCCCAGGAGATGGTCCCACCAGGGATGGTCGGAGACCTGCCTCTGAGCCCGACACCGTGAACCCAGGGGCAGGTGAGTCTGTGGAATGGGCGCAAAGCTTGCTGTCCTGCCCACCTCACCGGGCGTGAGAACACCAGAGACAAAAGCTGGGCAGGCCCTTCACACTCACAGGAAGCTGCACGACCAGCTCAGAAATCCTCGCACCAGCTGGGGACCTGAGGACCTGGGGACCTGGGGATCCTCAGCAGAGGATCCAGGAACTGATGATTTTTAGAAACGATTTCCATTTGGCCTGGACTTGAGAAGAAGCTAGAAGTTTTTCCAGCTTCCCCATCCCACCCTCAGACAAGACCCCCGTGGTGGAGGCTCGCCACGCTGGCCAGACAGGAGGTGACACAAGACACCAGCCTTGCAGGATGCTCCTGGGACCTTCGTAGGTCAGTGGTCCTCTAACTCTGCTGCAAGTTAGGGTCACTGGGGAACCTGTACAAACCCCAAGCCACCAACTAATGAAATCCAAATCTCTGGGTGAGACCCAGGAGTCTGTGTTTGGTAAAGTTTTCTGGGTGGTTCCAAAGTGCAGGCTAGACGCAGAGCCACTGCTCTCCAGCTCACCAATTCCTGAAAGCTGAGCCCTGGGCCACCCCAGCTTGGGGGCCAGGGCTTCCTGGGTCACCAACCCAAGACCCAAGAGGAGGGGCCTGTTGGGGAGGACAGTGTCAGAGGCCTGGTCTCACACAAGCCAGTGGCTTCCCATCCCATCTTTCCTAAGAGCCCAGGCAGAGAGACCCTAGGAATGAGGCTGAGTGTCCCCATCCCGCACCCCAGCCTGTGAAAGCCCCACGGATAGGGTCTGTGTGGTAAGCATCGCTGTACCCTCCACCGCCCCCCACATCGTGGCCAACCTGGGCAGCATCCAGAAAAGTTTTTCAAAGGACACTGAACAAAGAGGAGAAAGAGCCAGGAAGGGTACAGATGCCTCCCCCAGACTGGCCACAGCAGGCACGTTATTCTCCGGAGAATACGGGGGGCCTGGGGCCACGCTCCATGCAGGCAAGGAGAGCATGTCCCTGGGCTGGGGTGGCAGGGAGAGCACGTGCCACAGCGGCACGCAGGGCAAAGGCCCTCGGAGGAAGCTTGACCTGCAACCACAATCTGACCTTCCTCCAAGCCCAGCAAGCATGGGGCAGGCAGGGAGGGGGACGGGCACACAATTCCTCCTCTGTTGAAGCCATTCTCCATCTCCCCCTCCCCCACAAGAGAATAACAAGGTCCCTTGTGGGTCCCAGCCCTGACCACTAGGACAGTACCAAGGCCCTCAGGACGGCTGACTGGGAGGCGGGTGCCCTGAGGCTGGCGCAGCTGTGATCAGCCACCAGCCACCACCCCCCAGTGTCCTCCTGCAGCCTCCCAGGGCTCGGAGACAGTGAGGCTGGGGAACAGGCTCAGATCCCAGAATCTATCCCGAGAGTAACCTCCCAGGCCAGGCCATGACTCCAGCCATGGAATCATGGCCTCCAGCCAGACAGAGGTCGGAGCCCGGCCCCGCTAGTCTCCATCCACCAAGACTCCCCGCTGTTGAGCTCCTCGGCCACATCACGCAAGGGACCGAGGGCCCTGGGCAGCCACGCTCTCTGCTGGGGACGTGGCACAGGGTTTCTGCCTGATACACAGGCCGGGGTCTCTCCATAATCAGGGAACGGCAGCCCATTGGCTCTGGATCTGTGTCACCTGGGCCTTTAGGCTCCCCCAGTCTAGCTCCAGGGAAGGGGTCCCAGGGCAAGAGATAGAAACGCGGGCAATCAGAGACTGAAGGCCAGAGAGTAGGCACACGTGCTTCATCTCATGCCGTGTGTGGCTGCTCAGAACAAACCCACCTCGGGCCAGGACTGGACTTCTGGACCTAAGGCTGGGGCCGTCCCAGGGCTGAGGCTGTGATCTGTGGATCCCCAGAAGGACCCCGGGCCACCCCGACCCCGCACCTCGGCCTTGCCCATCTTGGCGGCCAGCTGGGGCGGCGTGAGGCCGTCGTTGTTGCGCATGGTCTCCAGTTCCCAGTTGCCACTCCTCAGCAGGATCATGTCGTACATGCGCTTAACAAAGTCGTTCTGCGTCTTGAAGTCCTCGGCCACCGTCACCAGCGCGTGCAGGATGTTGTTTCCCCGTGAGTCCTGGGAGGTGATGTCGGTCTGCTCGTACTCCATCAGCAGCTGCACGATCTCGGGCTGGTTGGTGCAGGCCGCCAGGGCCAGGGGTGTCTCGCCTGGGGCACGGGGAGCACTGGGACTCAGTTCTCTCATGGGCCAGAGGCAGAGTCCCCCAAGGCCCAGGACTGGGGCCCGTACCCTGACCATCGGAGGAAGATTGACCCCCTAAGGCTCCCTGGCCCTTTCCCCGTGCCCCCCTTGTACAAGGGGAAGACGGACGCTAGATCTCTGCAGTGGCCTCCTAACGGTCTCCCTGCTGCCACCCCAGCCCTGCAGACTCTGTGCTCAGCCTGGCAGCCGGCCCACCCCTGTTAGCATGTAAGTCCCACCTGGCCCAGAGTGAAAGCTCAAAGCCCTGCGTACCCTGACCTCCCCTCCTCCTCTCCCCCTCGCTCACTCCTCTCCAGCCACAGCAGCTTCCTTCCTCATCCTCGAACACACTGGTCACACTTTCCTCCCTCGGGGCCTTTGCATGGGCTGTGCCCTCTGCCTGTATATACCTTCATCGCTCACTTCCTCCTGCTTCAAGTCTTTGCTCAAATGTCACCTTTTCAGTGAGTCACTCTAACCACCTTATTCAAAATTGCAACCCACCTCCCTCCTGCCCCAGACACAACTCCTGATTGCCCTTCCCCGGCTTTACTTTGTAATTTTTCAAGAGCACCTGTCATTTTCTAATATGGTACATAACATTCTTGTTTATAACATTTAATACTGATGGTGTCTCTCTGTCTAAAATGCAAGTTCCATGAGGGCAGGGATCTTTGTTTTGTTCACTGATCTATTTCAAGCACCTAGAATAGTGCCTGATGTAGACAGTAAGTGCTCAATAAATGTTCATTCAGAAAAGACAGTAAGTGCTCAATAAATGTTCGTTCACAAGTGTCTCACACGTGGTCACACAGAACCAGGACCGGACGGCAGGTCTCCTGCTGCCTCCCTCTCTTCTTCCCACCCGCCAAACTTTTCCCCACACCCGCTGCAGCCAGGTGCTGCGCAGGGCAATGGGGACAGGAAACGAACATGGACAGGACCCTGTGCTGGGATGCCAGGACCCATCTAGTCCTGCTCATTCAAAAACCACCCAGAAGAGAAAACAGATCAGTAGTTGTCAGGCAGGGCCCGGGGTTTCAGGAGAAAATTTGGGGTGTGATGGAGCTATTTGCTCTCTGTCCCGATTGCAGTGGAGGTTACACAACTATATGCATTTGTGAAAATGAATAGAACTGTACACTAAAATGGGTGAATACACTATATCTAAATTATACATTTCTTTTTTTTTTTTTTTACCCAGGGCATTCTAACCCCAATTGCTTTTGGACTCGCCAGCTCCTCAGGCAGGGAACATTTGTCCTCTCACTGTTGACTCCCTGTTTGCAGTCCTAAGATGCACTGGGCACAGGGGACAGAGACAGAGGCCAAGGCCAGTACACCTATGTCATCGCCTTACTACACTGAGGCAAGTCACTTCCCGTCTCAGAGCCATCTCCATACCTGTAAAATGGGGCTATCTCCTCCACCTCCCTCCCAGGTCCCTGTCCCTCCCAGGAGGTCACCTCCAAGGCCACCAGGGGACACCCCCAAATGCGGCAATCCCTCTCACTCCACACCTCCCTCTCTGTCCGCCCTGGTGTCCTGCTCAGACAGGTCTGCTGCAGCCTTCTCTTTGTCCCAGCTCTGTCCTCTCCAGTCCCCAGAGCCTCTTAGGTAGGGAAGGGACGGTCACTCCCAGTGCAGAGCAGGGGCGACGGCCCCTCCCGCCTCCCTCCCAGCATCTTCCCTCCTCCCACACCCCGAGCCCCCCAGCCCGCGCCGGGCAGGGACGGCACCCACCGAAGTAGAAGCCTTCGTGCAGGGACTTGGGGTTGAAGAAGACCCCCTTGGCGTGGGCGTTGACGTCGGCGCCCGCCGCGATGAGCACCGCCGTGATGT